ACATTTTTAGTTTATTAACACTTGTTTTAGCTGTTCTTGATGTTTCAGCTCCATACACAGAGCAGTACTGATTTGACATGAGAGCTAAATAAATATTGTTAGTTTAGAAATAGTTTTAATGACTCTGACTTGTGAGGAGAAACATACATACAAATCACCAAAACTGACACTGGCAAAGGAAAAAAATGTACAGAAGAAACAGGGACGTCCAACAGAAACACAAATTCGGACGTTGTTGAGAGAGGCTAAAGATGCTGGACTGGATTCCATATATGATATCAAAAGGATTTCGCAGGACAGAAGGCAATAGGGGACTAGACTTGGAGCCTATGGGAAAAACAAACGAAACGTCACAAGGAGTTGAGTTGAGTTGAGTCAAAAATTGACATCACAGCACTCAGGGCATTCCCATGCATGCTCCACCCTCATCTTCAGCAGCCAGCGCAGAGTTCCAATACTGATGGTACCAGTCACAATCTGGTTAAAAGTCCGTCTTGCCTTTCCGCTGAGTGTAGTGAGCCAGCCAGACCCTCTGGTTACACCCAGATCCTCATTCTCTCGAGGCCATAATAATCTTGTTTCTCAATTGATTCCGTTGCTTGTTCCGAAAGGGCTTTGACCACATCTGCCTTGCCATGTATCAGTTCACCACCCAGTGTTGCAGATCCAGCCAATCTGTCTGTCTGTTCAATACCCACTACGCCGGCATTGCCCGGAGATAAGATCCAAAGTTTGCTCACTACACGTGACTTTCACAATGTAGCTTGCCACTCTGCTCGAAGCATCCCTGTCTTCATCTTTCTCAGCATGCTTTCAGAGTCTGTTACAATTACGACATGTGTATGCATCTTGTGCTCTAGCCACCGGAGAGCTGCAGTTACTGCCTCCACCTCCATTCTGATGCTAGACACGAAGATGATTCATTCACGCAACAATTCATTGTCCTCTTATGTTATTAAATGGCTGGAAGTCTTATCTATCTATTCCGTTCCATTTTGTGCAATCACTTCGATATCATGGGTGTAATCCAGTCAAAAACCTTTGGCTTCACCCGTCAACGCTCTTTTTAAGGTTTTTGTTGAACGTCCTCGTTACCACAAACCTGCTGTTTCCTATTTTAGTGCCTGCTTGCTTGTTTTCTGTGCTACGTCTCTTGTCAACGTGTCTAATCTTGTGCCATCTTCTCTGTCTTATAACCGTCCGTTATCACACTGGTTTCCCAGACATTTATCTTATTTCTTCACGCCTCTTCAATTCATTCAATTCTATGGTCATAATTTTCCTCAAGAATTTCTTTTCGAATGCGTTTAACTTTCGTTTCATGTCTTTGATTGTTCTCCAACTTTCGTTGGCAGGTGTGTAAAGTGAAATAACATTACAACCTTAACACGTAACTTGGTTCACAACTAAACAATTTAGTAACATATTTTGTTCAAGCTCTGAAAAGCTGCCGATACCTTGACAGTGTCTATCATAATTTTTTTGCGTTGTATTTCAGGATTGAAACGAATCCTTATAATTGTATAATTTTGGAATTTCTTCTTCTTCTTGGAGTTCGTTTTCGTATGCTCAGATCAGATGGCCAGCTGGGCTACATCTATAATTTCGTATGTCAGTTGTATTTCTTTTTCACATTTCAGATAGCAACATTCTTAATTAGTCATAGAAGTATGGTTGCCGCAGTAGCGCACTGGCGAAACTCTTGTCTGTAGATCCGAACGTCCTGGGTTCAAATCCCAATTAAGTTGAATTTAAAAAAAAATACATTGGCTTCCTGGTTAATGCGGCCTCTATTTACCAGGAACAAATGTCACGACAAGTAGAGGTGGCCGGTTTATGTTCACCACATCACCCGTCGGATACCGGTTTGTGTGTAAAAAACATGGATCTACCACCATATGTCCGATACGCAGATGACACAACAAGGTGCTCATTACTTTTTAGGTTATGATTATATTATAAGGGGAACGTATGTTCTTGGCAGGGTCACCTAAGCCAGACAGGTCATTGGTGACGGTCCGCCAGGCTCGGAGTTTGGCGCAGTGTTGACAGCTCTGCCCTAAAAAAAAAAAAAAAACTACAACGTTACTGAAACTTCAAGAGGAAATAAGTGCTCTAAACATCCAGCTGTCTTGGGACAGAGTCCCTCAGTCAGCAGGAACACCATGGGTGAAAGCCGCAAGGAAGCCCATGATGGGAAAACAAGTCTACTGGACGTCAAAAGCAAATTAAGAATCGATGGAAAGTGACCTGAGTGCGGCATCTCTAACATGGAAAACTGCACTGAAGATTGCACAGGACCGGAAAGCATGGAAAGTCCTTTCTGAAGCCATGTGCCACTAGGCATAAAGAGAATTGACGATGATGATGATTATAGTATAGATAAAAAACGAATAAAAGTTGGTAAACAACACCTACTATGGCTAGTGTTTGTAAAGTTTCGGTACACCTTGTATGCAGAACAAATTTGAAAAACGAAGTAGCTGACATAATCATGAAAGTCTGTTTAAAAACCGTCATTAAATTGCAAGTCACTGCTATGGTGCAACACTGTTTTGGGAAGCTGGAATGTACTAATGAAATACTCATCATAAAATGTATTGGAAATGTCCACCGAGGGTTTCAAGGCACGACTGTCTCTTTATATTCAAGAGGTTTTTTAATTTTTTTATTCCTTTTACAACACCGTTATATTTTTAATGCAAAGATTATGCAATTATTCCAACAGGCGACTGCATCTTGCTTTATGATTGACTGTTGATCATATTTTACTGATTTCATGTACTACGACGTTTTTTTTAAAATTTGTTTTACATACAGAACGATGTGAGACTTTACAAACACCCTGTAGAATGCAAAACATAATAAGCGTCCCTACTGGATACATTTCTGTAACAAAAGATAATGACGACGGGTAGAAGATCACACTGTAGTGACAATGAAATAATCGCTCGGTCACTTTAGTCACTGATAAAAAGAAAAGCAATGGCAAATCCCCTTTTTACATTAACAGAAAAAAAAATAGTAAAGGGCCCTTTCCACGCCATCAGGCGTATTAGGCATATAGGGCTAGACCTGTATTTTATAGATCAATCGGCACTCGGTGGGTGATGTGGTCAACATCACGCCGGCCGCCTTTACTTTCCAGGACTTTACCTGAAGGCTGGGTCGATCTGGGAGCCAAGTACTTTTTGGAAAAAGTCCGCTTCCGTCACGACCCAAACCCACAACCATGAGATCCGCAGAGGGGCGTCTAGTTGTTACACCACAGTGGCTCTATCCTATATAAAGTTAAGGTCTCATTCTGCATCCGTTTCAGTAAGAATCTAGACTCGTAATGAAATCAAGAATACACTGAAAATTGTTGCTCTTTGGCCACACGTTTCAACTGCCTTGTTTCAGAGTCCCCGTGTACCCAGACATCCCCGGTTTGGACACGTTCAGTGGAACAGTGCAACACTCGTTCAGTTACTGTAGTCACAAGCCTTACGACGGGAAAACTGTCTTGGTAGTTGGTACGTCTTAAGTTTAACTCTTTCAGTCTTTGAAGGTTTTACAGGAGATTACCAAAGGTACCGCTAACCATACTGAACTTTACCAGCAGGTAACAGATCAAATTGTTTGGCCACGAAACAAGACTGACAATAGACAGGGCGCCACAGAGAGCAACTTTATAGAGATTCAGCGGTAACAGAGCCAGAGGTCGACCACGCATATATGGACTCCGGAAATATCACAGACACTGATATGATAAGTTCTATACACGAAGCGAACAGAAGAGCCCCTTCCAGAAATCTCTTCCTGCCCTGACTCTGCAAGGAACTCCAGGAGTAGATAAAAAAAAGAGATAAATCAGTAGCAATTAAGAAAAATCAGAGGTGTTTTACAAATTTCCTACCCCAAACAGGCCACGGGACAGTCTAATATTTCAGGGGGTGATAGATAGGCTGCATGCAGTCGTGGGTCCTTGGCTGCACTCTCTCGTGGGACGTAGGTGTGTTGGGGTTAGGGCCAGTTCTAGATGTTTTAGGGTCGTTAAAAGCTTCAGAAAGCCGGGAAACCCAGTCTTACCACCCTCTAAAATGTTGGACAGTCCTGTGACGTCATCTGGGGGTAGGATATTAATAAAGAACCAAATCAGGAATGCCTTATAAGAAACCAAATACCAGGAGAGAAAAAAAAAAGCCAAATGTCTGAAAGTGATGTGCATGCAACACACAGGTTGTGGAACAAGACTACAGTCAAGAGGTGGATGAACACCCAGAACTTTCCGCCAGAGTTTTCAGCTGGTGAATGCGGAAAAGATTTTGCATAAATTATATATTACTGCAAGAGATTCTTCTTCTTCTTCAGCATTTCGAGTTCTTGAGGTTCATTGCTGCAGATATCACCTGACTCCATTCATCTCTATGGTTGGCCTTCTTTTTTCCACTTGTTGACATCAAGTGTTTACAGGTCTGTCTGGACATTATCTCTCCATCTTCTTTTTTTTGAATTTGGTCTGCCTCGTGGTCTACAACCATTCATCTCCCTTGTGTATACAGTTTTTACTTTTCTGACATTCTTGCAATATGCCCCAACCCTTACAGCAACAAATTATAGAAGGATAAATTACTGTGTTTAATATATTTTAAGTGAACGTTTCAATTACTGTAATATACCCATCGGAATATCAAAACTCACCTGAGACTGCATTGTTTTGTCTTACGAAATAAACTATTGGCGCAGATTAGGCTAACATTTATCTGTGTGATGTACAAGTACTGGATAACAAATGATTCCTCCCCACGACGCTTAACATCATAAATGGCTGATGATGTTGTTGTACCGTTATTCTTTTTCCTGTTGTGTAGCTTTTCTGGATAACTTGAAGCTGAGTAGTTTGTCATTGCTTACTAAATGGTACGACGCTCACACTGTTATCCAAAACAACGCAAAGTAGTCTATGGCTCATCGAAGACATTCCAAGAAGATTGACTGATTAAAGAAAGATTGTATAAATGTACTGTAGTCTTTCTTGTTTGGTCGCTCAATTATTATTTTCTGTTTGAATTCAAATTTGACACTAAAATATCTTCTTCTTCTTCAACATTTTGAACCCTTGGGGTTCATTAGTGCAGAGGTCACCCACCTCCATTCACTCTCTTTGGTTGGCCTTCTCTTTCTAATTGGTTATTTATAGTGTTTGCATATCTGAATGTTTATTGTCTCTACATTATTATCTTGGTCTACCTCGTGACCTACGACCATTTTTCTGTGTAAGCAGTTTGTGTCTCTCTGTTATCTGAGATTCTGTCTAAACGCCCTAGCCATCACAGTCTATAAGCCCAAATCATGTCAGTAGTAAGTGGTGATGTCAGTAGTAAGTGGTGATGTCAGTAGTAGTGTCAGTTGTGATGTCAGTAGTTATGTCAGTGAGATGTCTGTCTAGTAAGTGGTGATGTCAGTAGTAAGTGGTGATGTCAGTAGTAAGTGGTGATGTCAGTAGTAAGTGGTGATGTCAGTAGTAAGTGGTGATGTCAGTAGTAAGTGGTGATGTCAGTAGTAAGTGGTGATGTCAGTAGTAAGTGGTGATGTCAGTAGTTAGTGGTGATGTCAGTAGTAAGTGGTGATGTCAGTAGTAAGTGGTGATGTCAGTAGTTAGTAGTGATGTCAGTAGTTAGTGTGTGTTAGTGCCAGTAGTAGTAGTGATGTCAGTAGTTAGTGGTGATGTCAGTAGTTAGTGGTGATGTCAGTAGTTAGTGGTGATGTCAGTAGTTAGTAGTGATGTCAGTAGTTAGTGGTGATGTCAGTAGTTAGTGGTGATGTCAGTAGTTAGTGGTGATGTCAGTAGTAAGTGGTGATGTCAGTAGTTAGTGGTGATGTCAGTAGTTAGTGGTGATGTCAGTAGTAGTAGTGGTGATGTCAGTAGTAGTAAGTGGTAATGCCAGTAGTTAGTGGTGATGTCAGTAGTTAGTGGTGATGTCAGTAGTTAGTGGTGATGCCAGTAGTTAGTGGTGATGTCAGTAGTTAGTGGTGATGTCAGTAGTAAGTGGTGATGTCAGTAGTTAGTGGTGATGTCAGTAGTTAGTGGTGATGTCAGTAGTTAGTGGTGATGTCAGTAGTTAGTGGTGATGTCAGTAGTTAGTGGTGATGTCAGTAGTTAGTGGTGATGTCAGTAGTTAGTGGTGATGTCAGTAGTTAGTAGTGATGTCAGTAGTTAGTGGTGATGCCAGTAGTTAGTGGTGATGTCAGTAGTTAGTGGTGATGTCAGTAGTTAGTGGTGATGTCAGTAGTTAGTGGTGATGCCAGTAGTTAGTGGTGATGCCAGTAGTTAGTGGTGATGCCAGTAGTTAGTGGTGATGCCAGTTAGTTAGTGGTGATGCCAGTAGTTAGTGGTGATGCCAGTAGTTAGTGGTGATGACCAGTAGTTAGTGGTGATGTCAGTAGTTAGTGGTGATGCCAGTAGTTAGTAGTGATGTCAGTAGTAAGTGGTGATGTCAGTAGTTAGTGGTGATGACATGAATAAAACAGATTTACTGTCATTTAAAAATATATTTAGTCACTGTAGGTAGGTATGTAGGTGTCAGTAGTAAGTAGGTAGATGTCAGTAGTTAGTGGTGACATCACACAAGTAGTCAAACAGCAGGTGACACAAAGTGCCACCATGCGAATGAGAATCACCCGTGGAGAGATTCCCGAAACACCTTTCAGTCGTTAGGCCATATTGATGGCCCGGCTATATTCAGGGCCCCCGGCAAAAGCCAGGGTGGGGCTTCAAAATAACTAAAAATTGCATTCCACATTGGGACGTGCTAATACGTCTATGGTAGTCACTGTATTATTATTTATCAAAATATTTATACATAAGATCGCCATAATGAGCCTCGTTCTGATGTCGCCTACAGGCAACTTTGTCTCGGCCATTGACATCGCTAACGACATTGGAAACGTATCAAAGCGGGTATGTATGGCACACCGTGTGTTTCTCATTTCACCAAAAAATTATATTTACAAAAGATTACTCGTTGTGTGGACTCCTGAAATCTGAAGCTTGTTTCTATGATATGTAAAGATGGCGTTATGTTGATTATGTTGTGTAAATATATTCTTGAGTGCGAGGCCAAAGTCACCTATGTGCAGTTTAGGCATTTGTCACCCAAGTTGCCTTTTCAGGGCGGTTATTTCTCATTTTAAAATAAGCCCAAGCCACACATGTGAATTCCTACAGCAAATAAATAAAAATGAAAGTAATTTTCCCTCAACTACACAATTTTTTTTCGTCTCAATGTTCGAACGCGATTTTTCCAAACATGGATTTATCATTTAGCGAGCGAATATATCTGTGATGGTCTGTAGCGAGTCTGTATACATAGATGTTTGTCTATGGATATAAAGCTAGATCTCTACAGAACTATATTATGTGAATATAAAGTTAGATCTTTTCAGAGCTATATTGTCTGGATATAAAGATTGATTTCTTAGCAGCTATAATGTCTGAATATACAGTAGGATCTTTATGGAGATATACTGTCGGATATAAAGCTAAATCTCGATAGAGATATATTGTCTGGATATAAAGCTAGATCTCTTTGGAGCTATATTATCTGGATATAAATGTAGATCTCGATGGAACTATATTATCTCCATGGAACAACATTATCTGGATATAAAGGTAGATCATGAAATAATATTACCTGGATATCAAGATTGGTCTCTATGATGCTACATTATCTGGATATAAAGTAAGATATCTATGGAACTATATTGTCTAGATGTAAGTGCAATGACTCTCTGTTGTCTTCTATCTGGCTCTAGTCACTGCACGCTTCCATTCACTGACAGATAACACACGAGAAAACATGGATGCTGGCGAACGATCCAAGTTATACCGCTGTTTATTTGTTCACTCGCTGGTACTGCAGCCAGTAAATGTTATGGTACAACACAGTCACTCATATCTATCCTCACTCACCGAAAATGTCAACTATACCTTACAATAAACATTCCATTGCCACAGTAATTGAAAGATAACGACGGATCCATCCGATCAAAACACACACATACTCAGCTTGCTAAAAGACTTCCGTCAGCCGTTACTGATGGCCAGGTAGGCGTTGGAAACCACTCTGCAGACATATCGGACTTGAACACTTTTCTGAATCCAGGAGATACTCATTCATACTTCATGTATTCATTTCCTAGGCCTAAACGGGACTGCGCTTACCAGCCCTTTCTCAGGTATTATATAACCTCCTATGCCCTTCTTGTGATTCCTAATTCTCTGTGTTCTCTGATTTACACGGATTCCATTTGGCCAGCAGTTTCTCTGTGATCCGCGTGAGTTTCATTTAGCCAGCAATTCTTCGTGATTCGCATGAAGTTCATTTGGTCAGCATTTCTCTATAATTCACGTAGCTGTCCTAGTTAAAATCAAATATTCCATTCACTATATTAGCTGGCGTCATTCCGTCTGGGACATAATTTATCTAGGAGAAAAGGGGTTCAATACAGTACAGGACATATCTCTGCGAAGGTTTGATGTCTGGATATAAAGATAGATCTCTAAAAGTAAAGTTATACTGTCTGGATGTATAGATAGACCCATATGAGGGTATGATGACTAGATATAAAGATATAGTTCTATACATGAAGCTATGGGATGTGGATCTAAAATTGGATCTGTATGAAGGTAAAACTGTCGGATATTTAGATCTTCTTAAGGCATGCTATGCGTGTATCCATATGTGTGTCTATATATATAAAAATAGACATGTTAAAAGGATGAAGCTATGTTTTGATATAAAGATACACTTCTAAGTATGTGAGCTTTACGTTTATACATGGCTTCTTCTTCTGAAAGTTCATGTCGTGTGGCGTTGGTAGTCAATTCAAAACCTTTTGTTTCCTGTACTTCTAATCAACTCTGACACAGATGATCCTCCCTGCCATGATGTCAAACTGTCCAGCATCTGTTCTCTTGATCTCCCTCTGCCTCTCCTTCCTCCAACTTTCCTACCGTAGCGATGTACACCAGTTTTCTCCTTCTCATCACATGACCAAAGGATGTAGATTGTCTCTTTCTGATGTGTGCAGTCAGTTTTCTTCGTGAGCTAGTTTCTTTCAAGACATCTTCATTACTCTTTTTATCTGTTCATAATATTCTCATCATTTGTCTATTATGTTTGACAGTTACCATATATTCTGTTTCTGTGAAGGTGTACCTGGCAGTGGGTGATGGCACCTGGATCTTGCCCAAATGCTACCCCAAGTCTCGGGCTTTGGACATGCTGTTTTCCCGCTCTGTCGCCTACCACAGAAACGGTTTGGCCAAGATGAATGACATCTTGATGGAGCAAGCAAACAATCGGATTGACCACGAAAAGGCCGGCATTCGATCATCCAAACCCCCATTGATGTCGTCAGGAATTGGAACCAATGACGATATCCAGGTAACCTGTACATGTGGTATACTTTTCCCATTCCATTGCCTTTTTTGTTTGAACTGGATCATACGGAAATCATCTCCCTTTTGTTGTTGTTGTTTTATTTGCTTAATTCAGTAGTAGTGAAGTAAAGTTCTCAAGACAGAAATGAGGGGTTTTTAAGCTGAATTGCTATAAAACAGATTCTCAGAATACCTTGGACAAAAAAGAGAAGAAATCCAAGGAAAGGAAAGTCGAGAGGATCGACTTCATTGCACCAGGTATTATCCCATATGGCTCGGTCTTTCTCCACTGAACGGCTAGCAGCCTGTTGAGAGCATCACACAGAAAGAACTCCGTGGCTCCAGTGACGATCCCTAGGGATCTCTATAAAATTTTCACTCGTGACCTAAACAAAGCAGCCGTGAAACGAACCAACTTCCTTCAAAGCACGAGGCAGACGGCTCAACCACTTCGTGACAAAGGCCCCCAGAGAAAAAAAAAAATGACATTTTAAAAGATCTGAACATCAAGAAAAATTGGCTAAAAAACAGCATCTTGTCTCAAAAGAAGAAGTATTTTGGTAATCTTAAGCGCCATGGTGGACTGGAAAAATAATAGCAGAAGGTATGGTACCAGGAAGGAGGGGCAGGGGCCATCCAACACGAAGATGGGCACAGGATAAAAGTGACTCCTTGAACATGAAAGTAGGCGAGGCGGGCGAGCGTTTCTTTCGCGCAGACCGTGACAAGAGCGATGTTCTGCAAAGTACCTGCTACATGATGATGATGAGTCCAATAAAATCTAACTGGAAGTAAAGTTACATGTTTGTTTTTAAAGTTAATAAAAGTTTAGAGGAGCAGCTGGTCGAGCAGTTGAAACGTCTGGCTCTCCTGCGAGATATCCAGGTTCAACTCCCAGTGAGGTGATGGAGTTTTTTTTTTCTTTCTGTCGTGGGCAATAATAAACACAATAACTTGCACATTTCGTGGCGACAGCACTAGCCATGCGGTCTTCAAATCTCATGATCATGCCCACATTGTCTATACCGCGCCCGCAAAGTGATAAGCACAGACAGTAGTGAATTTTCTTTTCTATAATAAAAGTGGAATAAAGTACAGGAAAGGCTAACCAGGGCGCAAATGCCTGCTGCAGAAGTCAGATGTGTCGGTCAAATGACACAAATAGACATTATGTAAAAAATAGAATGTAGATAAAGATGGTATAACTAATAAAGATACTAAAATACACCTGCACGAATACAAAAGGCAAGAGGAGCTTTCATAAAACTAGAGGATTTATGGAGGTCAACAGAAATAAAAACTTATACTTTTAAATTCTTACATCAAACCAGTAATGTTGTATGAGATATTAATAAAAGCGGGTTTCTGGTATAAAAATCAGGAGCGGCTGGCCGAACGGTTAGAGCACTGGGCTATCATGCGGGAGACCCTATCCTCAGAAAAGGCTGGGGATTTTTTTCTGTCTGAAACCAAAAAAAAAAAAAATGCGCACCTGCACAGTCGTGGCGACAGCACTAGCCATGCGGCCGTAAGTCCTCAGACTCAAAGACCCCCCTGCCTACACCGCAAAAGTGGTTTAAGAAAATCAGTAATAAAATCATTAGCAGTTCTGGTATAAAAAGAGTGTTTTTAATGATATAAGTGGGTAGAAACGGCGTATTTATACAACTCCGGCATATTGGGTGTTTTGTTGTCATGTACACCTTCACGCCACATTAGGCCGGATATTACAGTCTACGGTCATTAGAAGAAGTAGGAATCGAAGGCGTGGTTCACGGAAGAAGAGCTAGAGGTCGACCAACACTGAGAAGGGCAGAAAACGTTAAAGCCGCTATGATCATGAAAATGGATTAGGTTAGGAAACGCAAAGATCCCCCACATTTTCTAGCATGTCGTTACTAAAGTCCTGCTCTGAATGACACTGTTTGCTAGACGATAAAGAGTGGTTGAAAACACAGGTGACTGTATGGAAGCCAAATACAAGAAACTAGACCAGTGAGCTGTGAGTAAAAAGCTTGACGAAATGGGCAAGCAGAAAAACCTGCACAAAATAAAGCAAAACAAATCAATATGGATTAATTTCTTACCTCTTCTTCTTCTTCTTTTTCGCGTTCACCGGCTGTAAACCGGCGGAAAGTTCTGGTTGTTCGTCCACATCGGGACTCTAGTCCTGTTCCAGAAACTGAGTGTTGCTTTCACATTCGTTTTCACAAATCTGACTCACTTGCATTGTAGACAGTTGTATTCAGTCGTGTCCAACTTAGAATATCTCTAGCCCAGTAACCGTTCTGTATTAAGTTGTTGAAATGTTGAGAATCACTTCCTTGTAAAGAAATTATTTTCAATATAAACAAATGTTTACTTTTCATTTTTGCCCTTTTTGCGGTATATAAAAAGATTCCATTCAAACAATCAACATGATTACAGTAACTTGAGTAACGAGAACTTTTAAAAACACCAGACTGCACACGTGTCACAGGCATTTCACTTTCAGATGGCCCTCTGCGACACTAACCTAACATGAGACATATGATCACACACACACTTTTACATGTATGCTGGAAAAGCTATCGAAACAACCACAACGCATGGCAGAATAAGTGAATGGATTTCTAAACAATGTCTTTCAGTTATCGTATACTAAATATTTTAAAACATTATAAGTGAAAAACAAAGATCAAATAAATTCACAGTTATAAGAAAGCAGCAGCACCTGCGCAATTGTAAATTATAAAAACCAACAGGACGTGGGAAATCTAAGGCCACACATTCGTCTTGATCTTTTCAGGAATTGTCGGGATCTTTATGAAAGTGTAAAGGGTAACTTTTGAAATGCACTATAATATAACTATTTTCTACAGCAAAGACCAAGTATAACAATTGTATTCAGTATTTATACACGGTACCCTAATGAGGGTCCTGAGTGGCGGAGTTGAGGGTTGGAGGGTGGGGGGGGGGGGGGGGGGGTCCTATATTCAACTAGAACCACCGTCCCTTAGCAAAGCTAGTTGCCAGTCCTTTACAGAACTTTACAGATTCAAACCTAGAATTCTGTGGCTGTCTGGGATTTCACTAGGTCCCTTTACAAGCATGTCGTAAAAGACGACTAACTAAGGGCGTTTCCTTTGAATTCAGAGTACATCTGCACGAGAGGCGAGGAACCAACAGTCTGCATACAAATAAACCAGGCTTGTAAAACGGACGTTCATGCAAAACTCAAGTCCTAAAACAGGTTTAAAGTCCAGAAGTGGACCAACAACCACAACCTTCCGCTAGAGGTTACAGCCGTGGAACTCGAAGAAGGATGTGCTATACATCAAGATAGGAACCGGTGTTGCCCAGTAGGTACAACGCTAATACCGATAGGGTGGTGACAGCACATTCGCATCACAGATGATTACAAACATAACGACACTGATTTTCACATCGACCAAACCAGAATGTTTACCAAGAGATAACATATGACGGGAGCAGTCATGGTATAGCGTCTAGTCGCTCGCCTCCGGCCCAAAGGTTGTAGGTTTAAACCCGCAACGAGACAGATTTTAAAAAAAGACCATGGTTTTCAGGTTCATCCAGCATAAATTGGGTACCAAGGGAAGTTCTAGGAAGTAAAGGCGGTCGGCGTGATGTTGACCAAATCACCACCAAGTGCCGATTGAGCACACTATCTCCATTGCCCCTCAACTCAGGGAAAGATTACTTGAGTACTTACATAGCTTTGACCGCCATCTTCTGTCTGGTGTTTCACACAGCTGAAAATACTGGCGGGAAAAGTGCGGATCTACGGACACTTGTCGCGTCTGCAACAGGACAAGGCCCACTTTCTGGATGGCAAGGTCATTTCCGGAATTGAGGCCATCGTCTTTTGTACCGGGCAGCTGCCGGATTTGTCTTTCCTTGAGCTGCGGATAAGTGAAGGTGAGTAGTTTATCCTCATCATCATCATCATAATCATCATTATCATCATCATCATATCATCATCATCGCCCAGAAGTAACATTATGTGTCACATTTGACTCAGTCTGTGTGTCGATTCCGTTACTTCCTGTGAAGTCATTTCTATATTATAGAAAGATTCCAAGCTTTCCCATCAACATTCGTGTAGAGTCTCTCTTGAAGTCCTAATTTCCCCAGCAAAGTTCAGCCCACCTAAAATAAATTGTGTATACCAAAGTGAACCAGTGGGGGAAAAAAAACTATATTAAAAAACCCGAACTGTTGGTTTTGTTTCCTATATGTAGCTCTAGGTTCATTGGGATCTCAAGTCTTTTTTTTTTTTTTTTTGGTGCAAAGACCGACACACGTAAAAAAATGTCTTTTTTCTTTGTTCAAAGATTTGTGATAAGTACTACCAGTAGTAGTGGTAGCAGTAGTAGCAGCAACAGCAGCAGCAATAGTATTGTTATAAGTTATGTTAGTGTCAGCAGTATTAGTAACAGCAACATTAGTAACAGCAGCAGTAAAATTATCAGTGTTGACAGTAGTAGTATAGTAGTAGTAGTAGTATAGTAGTAGTAGTAGTAGTAGTAGTAGTAGTAGTAGTAGTAGTAGTAGTAGTAGTAGTAGTAGTAGTAGTAGTAGTAGTATAGTAATAGTAGTAGTAGAAGTAGTAGTAGTAGTAGTAGTAGTAGTAGTAGTAGTAGTAGTAGTAGTAGTAGTAGTAGTAGTAGTAGTAGTAGTAGTAGTAGTAGTAGTAGTAGTAGAAGTATAGTAGTAGTAGTAGTAGTAGTAGTAGTATAGTAGTAGTATAGTAGTAGTAGTAGTAGTAGTAGTAGTAGTAGTAGTAGTAGTAGTAGTAGTAGTAGTAGTAGTAGTGTAGTAGTAGTAGTATAGTAGTAGTATAGTAGTAGTAGTAGTAGTAGTAGTAGTAGTAGTAGTAGTAGTAGTAGTAGTAGTAGTAGTAGTAGTAGTAGTAGTAGTAGTAGTAGTAGTAGTAGTAGTAGTAGTAGTAGTAGTAGTAGTATAGTAGTAGTAGTAGTGTAGTAGTAGTAGTGGTAGCAGCAGCAGTATTGATCCGAAATTTGCGAATATCTCCGCAGACAATGGAAAGGTGGAACTGTACAAGATGATGTTTCCTGTCAAAGAAAAGCATCATACCCTGGCACTGATCGGACACTTCGGTGCAGATTCACCCCTCGCTGTCTGCTTCGAAATGCAAGCTCGCCTGGCCACTCGGGTCATGGCGGGGAAACACAAGTTGCCCACTCGTGACCAGATGAAGAAAGATGCCGAGTTCTGGAACGCTCAAGTTTTGGCCAGAAGAGGAAAATATGGTTCATATTTGGTGAGTCTTGGAATAAAATAATCTTTGAGTGAGTTATCAGTTGGATTATCTTCACAGCATCCAGAGACATCCAAAGGCGGCTCAGATTCCCCCTTTTAACATATTCATCAGCGTAGCGCAGTTAATAGTGTCAGTCCTATGCTGGTTGACAAGACTTACTATACGTCCGGTGTGCTTCTCATGCTTGGCAGTGATGATATTTACTCATAATTTTCGTATTCTTAGCAGTAATGTGGACACATTGCTTCCGAAATCCTCGAAACGCTATATCTCTCTAAGGGTATTGACAATATCTGTTGATCCATGGGCAGGCCATCTTCAATGAATGCAGAACCTGCCAGTCTATCAGCCTCTGCTGTTCTGTCATACTGACCTTCTTTCCGAGACAATGAGAGAGCGGATTTCTGGCTACATAGGAATAGTTACAGGAACACTAGGACTGGACAAAGGAGTCATTCTGAGGACCTTTTGTGAAGGAATACTGATAGAAGAAACGATGTGAGATGAAATAACATGTGTTGGAATATGTGAACGAGGAATAATGTGTGGATTATACAAGGAGGGAGTTATGATAAAAAGAGAACGACAAGTTAATCATCAGTGCACTAAGGGAACAGTTAGCATCTACACTTTAAAACTTTTGCTGCGGGAGACGAAGCACCTATGGGTATGTCTGGTGTATTATGATGCCGATTCTCAGATCAGTAAATAAGACCTTTCATTTTTGGCAGCATTTTACAAAATGAAGAATATTCTATGCAAAATGTCTTTGTCAATTGAAACGAGAAACAGAATTCTCAAGAGCTGTATAAATCTTATCCAGATATATGGAAGTGAATCAATCAAAGTTGGACGATTAGTGAAAAATTATATGGAAGCTGCGACGTTGTGGTTTTATAGACGAATAACGAGAATACCCTGAACAGATCAAAAGAGTAATGAAGACGTCGTGAAAGAAAGGGATTCATGAAAAGAACTGATTGCCCACATCAGAAGAAGACAGTCTACATTCTTTGGTCATGTCATGGGAAGGAGAATCATGGAGTACATCGTGAAGGTTGGAGGGCAAGAGAAGAAGAGGCAGACCGAAAGAAGAGGCTAGACAGTTGGACACCATAACATGAAAGATCATATTTGTCAGAACTGACTGAAAGTACACAAGGCAGAAGGTTGTGGATAGACATGACTACCAACGCCACGTGGCATGAGCTATGGAAGACCATTTGTGACAGCGTTGGTTAAAAGTAAACGAAACAGAAGGTTGAGGATAGATATGACTATTAACGTCACTAGGCATGGATTTCAAGATGAAGAAGTGAACCTTCCACCACTGAACATGTGGAGAAGGCTTGTATCCTGTAGAGATACCCGTCTTTGTGATAGGGAAGGCTTCAACCTTTTGCCAGGCGCTCCAAATTTCCTTATTCGTTTCACGGACTTGTAAATCAGTTTACGCATTCAGTTTTTACAAAGACTAACGAGGATCGTCGCTGGAGCTAATCAGTTTTTGATTTGTTCTGCGCACACGGCAGGGGGCTAGTAGTTTTACAGGAGATACCCTAGTGTAGTTAAGTCGATAAATGTCAATAAACATTGTCATAAAGCTGACGCTACTTTTGACATTACCTTTATGTTTTTTGTAAGCGTCTGTGACTTAGGCGTTGCAAACGATGCCGGGTTCGATTCCAGCTGTAGGCCTTGCGCCTTGCGTTGGTTTCGACAGTGGCATCGAGAAGCCGACCGTCCGGAAAGCAATGGCAAACTACTGAACGTAAAATTTGCCCAGAAAAACCACAACAGCCAAAAAAGGCTGGGGTTGGTTCTGTAATGTCCTGTAAAGGATACACAAACAAACTTATTGACCTTTAAACTTCTTCATCATTTTTCACTTCTTCTTTTACCGCTCCCGGGGTCGACGAAGATATAAGGTGCTGCTTCTCGGTCTTGTGGCCGCCCCGACCATAAACACAGGGTTCTGTTGAAGAGTTTCTCCGATGTTATATGATATAATATAAGATATATATTCCCTCGAAGTCAGAGTACAGCTGCCCATGAGGCAGGGAACAGTAAAACGGTTGAACACGCAAAACTCAGGTCCAGGTAAAAGCCAGAAGTCCAAGCGAAGGATTAACCGGAACCTTCCGCCGGATTTCACAGCCGGTGAACGAAGAAGAAGAAGATAAGAGATATATAAGAACAAGATGGGATATAACTTATATCCCCATCTTGTTCTTTACCTTGTGCTCTATGTCCTTCTCCTCTGATATGTTATGACGTCACAATGTATGCTCTCTGGTTTTGTACCCTATTCGATCTGCTGTTTTTCTATGTAATTATGTAAATTTAGATTTGGTTCTGTGCCGACATGTTGTCTTATGACCTAATTTCTGATTTCATCTCTTCTAGACTCGTCTGCAGCCCAACCCCCCCCCCCCCCCCTTTTTTTCCCCCGAGACATTTCATTCTGATAGGGTAATATTCCTTATATATAGTTTTTTTTTGCGAGTGACCGTGTCTGGCTCTAACAGCACAGAAAAGGAATGAATCTGCTTTGTATGAGCTTCTTTGTGCTGATTGGGATTGTCTTAACTTGTAAACGACATTTAAAAAAAATGATTCTTTGACAAAAGACTTGACTGGGTCACTACTTTTTTTTTTCTTCAGGTAAACGGAACAATGCTGTCAGAGCTGCTAGCACTAGAACTGGGTTGCTACCCGAAGTTCTGGAGTATCTTCTTCGCCGATCCTGTCCTAGCTTTCAGGGTCTGGTACGGGCCAATGTTTGCTTCACATTATCGACTTCTGGGACCTGACAGCCAATGGGAAGCAGCCACTAAACTCTCGCATGCTTTCTTCGAAGAAGGACACAGTTCACTTCGACACAGAGAAGTTAGCAGGCTGCAAAGACCAGACATATTTAGGTTGGCTACCACCAGCTCAGTGGTACTTGTCATCGTCTCATCTGTGACCGCAATCATTGGTTTTGTAGCTTGCAAATATCACATCATTCAGAAGATAACATTTTTATAAACATTGAAAGAATTGTTGTCTCGGCTATCCTCCGAATAATGGGCATATATTATGGCAGCCAGAATCACACCCTGACAGGGCCTCAGTCACATGTAAATTGCGTACTTCCGGCGACAACCCCCCACCGCCGAGAATATCTCCCACCCCGCTAGACGCAGCATGGAGCGGTGCTAGACTAGAATGAAGGAATCTGCAGGAGATGCGGTAGCTGCTGCTCGTGAGTCCCAGCCATCTAGTCTAGCACCGCACTACGCGGCGCATAGCAAAGTGGGAGATACTCTCTGCGGTGGCGGTAGTCGCCGGAAGTTGGCAATTTACATGTGACTAAGGCCCTGTTAGGGTTTTTTTTTGGGCCGCCATAATATGTGCCAATTATTCAGAGGATAGCCGTTGTCTCTCCTCAAGCATGGTATTTTATATGAACGGGTTGGATTTTCACAGCCGTGGTCACTTCAGACAGACAAACCACGACCGGGTCGGGCTAACGATGCGTTAAAACAGTGGTTCTCAAATTGGTGACGAGGCACCCTGGGGTACCGCCAGCGTATGCCAGGGCTGCCGCGGCAATAATCAAGAAAAGTCATGCTAAAAAAAGTGTGAAATTATTAATAAGGCATAAAAATACTTAAATGTTGAAATTTAAGTTGCCTTCCATAGCCACTGTCGAAAATAGTTTATTTCTTGCTTGAGAACGGCTTGGTAATGCATCGTTAGCCCGACCCGGTGACGTCAGCAACACGGCCTGTCATCTGGACAAACACAAAAAAGTCTCTCTGTATACAACACAGTGAGAATCTCATCACTGGTCAGTATTACGTCACACAGAGAATAAATTCTAAATCTTTAAAAAATTTAATACATGTAACATGTATAAATGGTTATAATTTCCCCTAGTGTTACCAAGACAGTGTTCTCAAGGCCTACTGTTTAAACAACTTATTGGTGGAGATGGGTAGTCAATGTGCGTACAGTAAACCGATTTTTAGATTTTTCACGGTTATCCGAAAAGGAAAACACAGAAAATAAATTTCATAGCCCAGAAGAGCCGAGAGAGCGATAATACACTACCTTCTGATTAGCCGGCCAAAGGCTATAATCTCCAGTGAGTTAGTAACTTGTCCTTTGCAGAACCTTGCTTCCATAACAACCCTTCGGAAAACTTCTCCATCACAAGCAAGATGTCTGGAGATCATCCGCCACATCCTGCAGTTATCTTATCTTTAGCCTTCCTGTTCTTCTCTTCCCTGGCATAAACGCCTGCATTACTGTTCTCTCTAAACTGTCGTGACGTTTCAAGGGATCTTCACTGAGGCTCCCAGATCCTTAATAACCTAAAGTGTGAATCAGGAAATGTTTTGCAAAGGAACTACAACAGTCGTTATTCTGACCACACCCAGCATCCGTAGTAATGTTTGCCACATGATCAGCGACCGGATCGCACATATGCTGCCAGGTAGACGACTTCGTCGCGTGTTTGGACTGTATTTGGTTCTGTCTCATGTGATCGCATCAACACTGCATGAGTCGTTTCCATGGCTTTTGGCGGCATGCAATGCTTATACATTTTATATAGGGCACATAACCCAGTCACAATTATAACCTAAAGCTCCCCCTACGAGGATGCTGGTTGTTTGGGAGCACAGTTAGCCAAGCCAAGCTGATTGCAGGATATGCCTCCCAGGCGGAACACATATTATTTTACTTTTACTTTATATATTCTTCTTCTTCTTCTTTCTTTAGCATTCCGAGCTCTTAATGGTTTTTACTGCAGATATAACCAATCTCCATTCATCCTTCTGACTGGCCTTCTCTTTCCAGTTGATGAATCCCACGTGTATGCAGGTCTGTCTGTCTGTCTGTCTGTCTGTCTGTCTGTCTGTCTGTCTGTCTGTCTGTCTGTCTGTCTGTCTGTCTGTCTGTCTGTCTGTCTGTCTGTCTGTCTGTCTGTCTGTCTGTCTGTCTGTCTGTCTGTCTGTCTGTCTGTCTGTCCTGTCTGTCTGTCTGTCTGGTTATTACCTCTAGCCTATCTTCCTGCTCTGCCTCATGGTCTGCTTCCTTTCATCAATTTCTGTATATGCAGTTATTGTCTGTCTGCCATCCTCTTTGTATATGAAATAATTGAGCACAATGTTATTATTACTATAGACATAAACAAGGCTGAGGTCCCCTAGAGATATTCCCGGCCCCCATGTTTTATGTCAATGCCCTTGTATTTGTAGATTAGTTATACGTGTGTATGTGTGGATATTTGTGTGTGTGTGGAGGGGTATTGCGTGTGTCTGTATGTGGGTAGTTTTGTGTGTGGATATTGTGAATGTCTATGTATGTGGGGTTATTGTGTGTGTGGGCATGTGTATGTGGGCATGTGTGTGTGGATGTTTATGTGGGTATTATGTGTGTCTATGTGTGTATTGTGTGTGTGTAGTTTTGTGTGTCTATTTGTGTGTGTGTAGTTTTGTGTGTCTATGTGGGTATTGTGTGTGTCTATGTAGGTGCGGGCATGTGTGTGTGGGTATGTGTGCATGTAAGTGTGTGAGGGGATATGTGCGTGGGGTCTGTGTGTGGATGGTGGGATGAAAGTGAGGAAGAAAACATACGAGTATATAAATATATTGAGCTTTCTTAAATCTATACTTCATACCAAGGATGTGTCTGGAAATGCAATACACTGAAAGCTTTCTAATCTTTACTGTAGTCAGTTACACACGCAGTGTGTAATACAAATAAAATAACAACATGCTGAAATCTTTGCGTTGTTTTAAATGTATTATTATGTTTGTTTTTGGCTGGTGAAGGGTTACTACCAAATCATTCTTAGCTTGTGTACAGACATTCTATGTTTCATGTTGTTTAAATTCCAGGCAACAATTCACCTCGATAGCTTATAGTCAATCAGAATTCACAGGCATGCATCAAACGCTGACAACAGGACAGGCAGTCAATGGGGATTTATATTTCAGACAAATGATAATGAGAAAGAAAGTGAGAGAAAGTGAGGACAGAGAGAGAGAGAGAGAGAGAGAGAGAGAGAGAGAGAGAGAGAGAGAGAGAGAGAGAGAGAGAGAGAGAGAGAGAAAGAGAGAGAGAGAGAGAGAGAGAGAATGAGAGCGAGACAGACAGACAGACAGACAGGTAGGTAGGTAGGTAGGTAGGCAGATTAGATAGATAGACAGACAGACAGACAGACAGACAGACAGACAGACAGACAGACAGACAGACAGACAGACAGACAGACAGACAGACAGATAGATAGATAGATAGATAGATAGATAGATAGATAGATAGATAGATAGATAGATAGATAGATAGATAGATAGATAGATAGATAGATAGATAGATAGATAGATAGATAGATAGATAGATAGATAGATAGATAGATAGATAGATAGATAGATAGATAGATAGATAGATAGATAGATAGATAGATAGATAGATAGATAGATAGATAGATAGATAGATAGATAGATAGATAGATAGATAGATAGATAGATAGATAGATAGATAGATAGATAGATAGATAGATAGATAGATAGATAGATAGATAGATAGATAGATAGATAGATAGATAGATAGATAGATAGATAGATAGATAGATAGATAGATAGATAGATAGATAGATAGATAGATAGATAGATAGAATTGTAGGTGAAATTTGACAAAAAATGGTAATTATCCCTAGTTTCCCTAATTATTCTTACGAAAATATGAAATAGTGAAGAGGATTAGAGAGACCTTATTGTCAGTATCTGCTCCAGACATCGTACTCGATGACGTCAGTATCTGCTCCAGACATCGTACTCGATGACGTCAGTATCTGCTCCAGACATCGTACTCGATGACGTCAGTATCTGCTCCAGACATCGTACTCGATGACGTCAGTATCTGCTCCAGACATCGTACTCGATGACGTCAGTATCTGCTCCAAACATCGTACTTAAAATTAAAAAAAAACCTCGTTTTGTCGTTTGTAAATGTTATATCTTTTATGGCATAGTATATTCCAGTTGTACACATGGCTGTCTGGGACTAACGAAAGAATTGTACTGTTAAGGAAGCACGAAAAAAAAAAAAGTCAAGTCTGAACGAGAAGTAGAACTATCAGCTTTCCAATACTACAATAAGGGTAAAAAAAAAACGTTGCGTCTAAAAAGCTTTCATCAGCGTCTGACAGAAAGAGCCAATGATACAAATACCAACAAGACTACATGAAATCTATTAGCTTTAAGTTGAGGGCTATTATAAAATCTCCATCAGTGATAGAAGAGTAGATGCTCTGCAATCAGGTGTAGTTGCAGCGTGGGGATAATAACGTGGAAGATGCCCAGACAGAGAGGTTACGGCAAGGGACGTAACCCGATATCATTTTTAGATACAACTATTGGACATTAAGGCCTTTAGGATACATTAGAGTGGCGCGTTTATCACATTGTTACAGCGATATATTAGACTGCTACAGTGCTACATTGTATCCTGTTTTAAAGTTACAGCAAGGTGGTCTGGAGGCAAATGGGCTAACATAAGGTAAATATAATAGTTAGTTATGAAGACCCAGATCAAAATCGGTCAATGTAACATACAGGTGTACTGGAACCCTTACCCGAATAGGTCTGCAGGTTACACAACCGTTGCAGGAGCGCTGATTATAACTTATTTGAAGGTTAACCAGGGTATCTTTGATCTGCCTTATTGGTCTACCGTCTAGGTTGCAAGGGTAAACCTTTAGGCAGAAACACGGAGGGGATAAACTGATCGATCGATCGAGCTAGATAACACATACGGTAATTTAATATCTAAGTGCAATGGAACCAACTATTCAAGACAAACACAAAATCAGTTTTCGACAATGTTACATTTTGCGGACGTTTTGGCAAGTTTTGTTCGCCATGGCTGACCCACTTGGCAATCATGAAAGGACAGATATTCATACCAAGACCCCACTCTCTTTTTTCCGTTAGACGTGTCTGTTGACCCAAGACCCAGGTTCTTTACACCGCCTTCTCAATCTGGGAGATACCTGTACAGTAAACGGACCACAGTTCAGTGGAGCGATGACTGACATGCGTGCATAGACTGTGTCTGTTGTTGGAGATCTGTAGGACTGTGTGACCTAGCTAATGTTGCCAGGTACTCATTGCCTCCGGATTCTCTCTCAACCCCCCCCCCCCCTTCCCCACCACCACGCAAATGTTATTCGTATAAAGTAAGTTTAGTACTTTATTGTGTATATTGTATAGCGCATTCTTAATAAAAATGTTGTTATAAACAAACAAGCCGTCACTCCGTTTTTATTTTACCAAATCTGGCAACCCTAGGTGAAAGCGAATCGTGGTGGGAAATTTGCCTGGTTCAAAAATTTGGGAGGGCGAGGAAGGAAGGAAAGAGAGAGAAAGAGAAAGAGAAAGAGAGAGAGAGAGAGAGAGAGAGAGAGAGAGAGAGAGAGAGAGAGAGAGAGAGAGAGAGACAGAGACAGAGACAGAGAGACAGAGAGAGATGGAATGGTTAGAAAATTAGTGTGAAAGAGAAAGAAGAAATGAATGTTCTGCTTACATGTATGTTCTGTAAATATAACTCTTTTGTGTATCATTCATCATGCAACTTTGGAATATGTAAATGGATTGTGAATCAAATAAAAGCTTGCACACAAAAAAGCAGATGTCGCTGTAACACATTTGGCAGTGGAAAAAAACCACTTATATTATGTTGGCCATTTGATAACTGACACAGACAGCTGGAGCGAAGGTTTATGCCAAAGGAAACCCCAGTTTTGACTGTTTCTAGGACATACCCCCCCCCCCCCCCCCGAAACCACCAGACCGTAACCTTTTATTTTTTTTCGCACTTTGGACTTATTTTTGATGGCAAAAACTGGTTTCTGTGGTATTTAAGATTTTCTGCAATCTCACAGACACAGCAACTGAGGATCTGTAGTTGCATACACAGTTTCAGAAAAGGTAAATATGTTTTTGTTAACTATTCATCGTTACTGTTCCCATTCGGGAGTCGCCTTGGCGGAGCGGCTAGACGCACGCCGTAGATCGGAAGGTCGTGAGTTCGCTCCCTGGCGGAGCCGGACTTTTCTTCAAAAATGACCTTGGCTCCCAAGGTCGACCCAGTCTTGAGTGGGTACCGGGTGAAGTCCCGGGAAGTAGCTGACCACATCACTCATCTTGTACCCTTTGGTCTATAAAATATAGGTCTAGCCCTACACGCCCTATACGCCTAAAGACGTGGAAAAGGGTCCTTTACTTTTACTGTACCCATTCACAAAAGTGCTGAAATATGATCAGTCGATAGCTACTCGTGACCCAGTGACACGCAGTGGTGCGGAATGTTGATGATAATGATATGTGTGTGGATCACTCACCAACTGTATTATAGTAACTATTCACTAGTTTATTTACAAGTTATATGCCCTCAATGCCTATACTATGGCACACACCTGTAAAATGTGTCCGTGGGGGAGGGGGGAACCCACCTGAAATCAAACATTAAATCTTCAAGGTGTTCAAGAGCTACTAATGAATCCACAGATGGCTCCTAAGGATGTGTGTGTGGTCGGCGCTGGTGTGGCTGGAATCGCTGCCCTGAAAGAATGCTTGAGGCAAGGGTTCAAGCCTGTCTGCTATGAGTTAGACTCGGACATAGGTAAGGATTGTGCGTTTATGTGGTCACAAGTCGATCTGAAGCCGTGCGCTTCAAATTACTATATTACCATATAATATACACTATCCCTAAAACAGAGGTTGAGGTGCCTGCAGAGGATATCCGCATCTGTTGCTATTTTTCTGAATAATACGTGGTGATGACCCAGTCTGTTCAAAGGTAGGATTCTCGTTGACAGGTAAACCACGGGATTGAACTGCTTTCTAAACTGTCCGCATTGAAATCAGACTTCACTACTGCAAGCATTTTGAAACGCTTTCACTAATCTTTAAACTACAGAGCCGCTCCCTCAATCTATAGAATCATTTTAAGTAATTCTATAGGGCCATTCTAAGTAAATCTATAGAGCAACTTTAAATAAACTATGGGGCCACTTTAAGAAAATTTGTGGAGACACTCTAAGTAAATCTATAGAACTACTTTAAGTGAACCTATGGGGCCATTTTAAGTAAATCTGAGGGGTCACTAAGTGGAATCGGCTAAACTGGATAATTTCAGCCACTTCTGACAAGTGTTACCACTTTGAATGTTTTACATCAAGATTTAGATGTTTTTCCTTGCATTTAGATGGCGTTTTTGAGGTTTTGATGTTAGATGTTTTTCTCGACGTTTTTCATTTGGAGTGAATTTATTAAATCTAATTTAAGAAACAGGATGAAATTCGACCTCTTAAATGCTATCTTGACAATAAAATTCGGCCCGATAAGAGAAGGAAAAGGCTGTTCTACTATCAGCTTCCTGATTAGGTATTAAAAGAAATTGGAACAGCTAAAGCATACCAGAGTCATTTTGGATCTGAAGCTTCATCTTCATCATCCAAGCTAAGTTTATCCTGTGGATCTTGTGAGGCAGACTTCAGTAAAGATGAGGACATGATTCTATAGGGTAAGTCATAACTATTGCTATGTAATTTGTGACTCTTTCCATTTGAATGTTTTTTCTAGATGTTTTTAGATATTTTTGACTCCGTTTTGGATGTTTTTGTCAAAGAAAAGTGGCAACACTGCTTGTGACGGATCGCGGTAGACCAAGAATTAACTGATTGTCCATGCTATTCCAGGTGGGATATGGCGCAAAAAGGACTACACACAGCCGCACAACACACCTGCTGCCTACAACAACCTGGTGATGAACACCTCCAAGTTTAACAGCAGCTACAGTGACTTCCCTCCATTACTTCAGGACACTCCGTATCATTCTACTGAGGTGAGGGACACACTGCACATACTCAAATTAGTCCTTGCATACGTTTGATCTTTTCTCGTAGCTATGTATGTTTTACTAATACAAATATTAACACCGTGACATTTTAATAGGATGAGTTCAAGATTGTTTTGCAGTCACACTAAGTTCACAGACGGCCGATAGCACTTACATCGAATTATTCAACAGAAACATCTGGCATCTTCACTGTCATCCATCTTGACAGTTATAAATGGCCAGCTAATCGTAGCATCTGCAGGCTACTTGCGTATATTCAGGTTCACTTGCATTCACTCATCCATGGCGCTCGCACCAACACCAAACACAGTTGTAAACCCATAATATAATCATTAGAGATTATCGTCAACATTGAGTGAACAATTAGTGATTATTGTAAACATGTAATTGAACTATGAGAGATTATCACAAACATGTAACGGAACAGCTACATAGTTGTAGTGAGCATGTAATGGAACAGTCATAGATTATCGTGAACATGCAAAAGTCAGCGATATCAATAAACATGTAATGGAACAATCAGGGACGACCATAGACATGTAATGAGACAGTCAGCGACAATCATTACAATGTAATGTGACAGTAAGAGAATATCGTTACCATGTAATGGAACAATCAGCGATCACCTAACTATGTAATGAAACAATCAGCGATAAATATAAACGTGTGATAGAACAATCAGTGATAACCTTAAACATGCAATGAAACAATCAGCGATAGACATAAACATGTAACAGAATACAGATAGATTCAAGTAAACATATATTGGAACAGTCTGAGCATATCGTTTACACCTCGGATGGATGATCATGTGAACTTTGCCACATTAAAACTGTCATAGTTAGAAAAAGAACAGACCCGATAGGTCGAATCTCTGAAAAAATGTTTAACGACACGGCCAACAGAGTCGTTCGAGAGAGACAATTATAATTATAAGTAAGTTGAGGCATTTATCGACACAACTGATTCTCGACCTGTCTGTTTCCCATAGGGCATGTTTCAGTACTTGAAGAGGGCGGTGCAACACTTTGATCTGGAGAAATACATCCACTTCAACACTCGCGTCATCAAGGTAAGAGTTTGTGCAGCTGCGACTGAACGGGATTCTTGGAATGTTCTGGGATGGAGGGTCAAGACTGTTAGAGGGCTTGTTGTGACGTCACTTCACGTAAATTATATGTAATTGACGACACAACTCTGTTACATGGTGCCAGTTCTTGATTCATTAATGTATTCTATATCAAGAATAAAAACCTCAATCCTTTTCATGTTTTGTCTACAAATGTGGATGCAACATCATCGATAAAATGTGATTACTAGGTATAGCCACAGAGAAACATCACGATCATTAATTCAGAAAACTTCGCAAAGTTTGTTTTCCGTGTACGTGTTTAACAAATCAAATTTACGTTCTGTTGTTTTACCATCGCGGCCACTTATAGATATGATTCACGGACTTATAACCACAAAAAAAAAAAAAAAAAAAAAAAAAAAAAAAAAAAAAAAAAAAAAAAAAAAAATAAATAAATAAATAAATAAATAAATAAATAAAAATCTAAGCTTTTTAACTCAAAGGCTACATATAATTTTTTTACAATCCCAAGGATCAAGAAGAAAAAAAAATCCACATCCAGCGTGATCTGAAAATTGAGGATAATTGGCTCACAAACAGCATCCTGCCCCAAAAGCTGAGGTATTTTGTCTATGTCAAATGTCATGGTGGTCTGGAGAGAACGGCGATATAGGCTACAGTTTCCGACAACAGAGGCAGAGGCAGACCTTCACGACGGTGAATACAAGAGATCAGAGAAGCCTTGGCTATGAAAGCCCACGGGGGGGGGGGGGGGGGGGGGAGAATTCGCTAGAGTAAGAGAGATTTCCAGGCGAACCGTGACGAGAGCGATGTTCCGTATAAATACTGACTGACTGATGATGAGTTTTATGTCAGCTAATACCCGTAGATACCATTACAAAGAGATCTGGACCACACCAGACCCAAAAACCACAAGCACCGCAGCACAGCAAGGAAGCAAACAACCGGAATATCAGATGTGACTACACACCGCAAATAAAAGGAAATCATATAAGACAGCAAAGGAATCTTCCTCGATATAGCAGGCCTCCGGGCGGCTGAAAGAGGATCAAATTTGGAATTTTTGTTGGACGAATTGGAATTGGATGAGTTTTATCATTACCACTGAAAGGTTCGACGCTCATACCGTTGTTGACAAGAGTGGGAGGTGCACCAGCATCATAAATATATATGTCTCTGATTTTGATATCAGATCAGAAAAACCAGTGACCATGACAAAACTGGACAGTGGGAGGTGGTTACAGCTGAGAGAGGGGATGATACTTTTGGTGATGACCTTGCCGGACCTCGAGGAGATGACCAGTCGCTGTCCACATGTCAGAGAGAGGTCTTTGACTTTGTCCTGGTCTGCTCGGGATACTTCAAGTAAGTTCTCTTGCATTTATTAATAACCTACTGGAGTCTGAAGATGATGATGGTGGTGATTATGATGGTGGTAATGCTGGTGATGATGATAATGATGATGATGAGGATGATGATAGTGGTAGAGTTGGTGATGATAGTGGTAATTGGAGGTAGTACTAATGATAATAATGGCGGTGGTAGCGGTGGTGATAGTGGCGGTAGTGTTGATAATGGCGGTGGTTATGATGATGATGATAATTGTGATAATGGCAAGAAGGTATTGATAATTTATTAACCCAGAGTTGTTAGATAAACCGAAACAAGCTTTACTGTGATCACTTATGCTGTGTCGATAGATAAACTATGCATGTTTTGTAGCCTGAAGAACTTATCTTTTCCAGAGTGCCTGTGTACCCAGACATACCAGGAATTGAAACCTTCAGTGGAACCGTGCAACACTCGTTCAGCTACACCAGCGCCAAGCCTTACGATGAGCAAACTGTCCTAGTGGTCGGTATGTCGGAATTTTGTTTTTCCACATTATTTGCGATGCCTTTGTAATCAAAAGACCACCTCATAGTTGCTACGTTCCTGTGCCAATGAAAACTTTAGCAGACCCAACAGCAAACACGTGCATTAAATGCATAAGATAGCAGTCAAAAGTGCCAGCACGCACATTCCGACACTAGAAATCCAGTCCACCGTCCACGGAAGCAGCAGCTACAACAGTGTTTGCACACGCGTTTAATCGCATCAGGCACCACATATTCTCTGGAAACATGCCTTTCGCAATTTTTCTGAATCTGCAGTTAACAACACTCACAACCCTGGGCACAGTCACAAAGAATTCAAAATAAATCCGCAGCATACGGTGTAGCACGGAGTCGTCGTTGCCAGGCGGCTAGGCGCTCGTCGCGGATCGGAAGGTCGTGAGTTCGCTCCCTGGCAGAGCCGGACTTTATTTCAAAAATGACCTTGGCTCCCAGGTCGACCCAGCCTTGAGTGGGTACCGGGTGCAGACCCGGGAAAGTAAAGGCGGCCGGCGTGATGCTGACCACATCACCCATCTTGTGCCGATTGGTCTATAAAAATATAGGTCTAGCCCTATATACCCTATACGCCTAAAGGCGTTTAAACTTTTTTTATACGGTGTAGCGCCAGTAGCTTGGCGACAGAACTATGCGAAAATGTAACAGCTAACTATTGTCAGAAGCAAATGAATTTGCAACTACTAAAACTAAAACCGCATCACCTTATCCGTCATATTTATCGGAAACGTCAGTCAAATTATAGTCGACGATTATTATTAAATAAATGTTGGTTGTATTTCCTTGACTGTAGGCCGTCATAAAGCAACAACAACATTTGTTGACTTTTGTGATTTTACTAGGTAATTTTATGTTCTGTTGCGTGCCATTGTTACTAAACAATTCGACGCTTGTAAATCATCATCTGATTGAAAAAGATCTGGTTGGGGAGCGAAGGAAAAGATCATGGGAGATCAAAACAGTGCCTTTTTTTAAAACTGCTTCAAGCATGAGGATGGAAGTAGAGGAAATCACCCCTGTTCTAAAGAAGACAACAGAAAACAGAGTTACCACAGGAACAAATTTGTCTGATTCTCAGTCGGTACAGTATAAGGTTCGAACTGGACAAACCAAGCATCAGCACCTTAACGTGATAGGGCTTGACGCGAATATACAACAATGATTGCTACAGGAACGCTCCTACTAGACAAGGAAGGTATTTTAAAGATCATGAATGAACGAATGCTTATAACAGACACGAGGTTAGATGGAGAAAAAACAAACATGTGTTAGAATGTATGACCAAGAGTATATCCGTCAAGGAGGAACGTATGAGAGGACAAGAACGACGTGTGTACAGTCAGTGTCCTACGGGAACAGTTAGCATCTATACCTTAAGACATTTGCTGCCGGAGACGGAGCACCTATAGTAGGCCCGGTGTGCTTTGTGTCGAACCCACGATTTTCGAGTGGGCAGTCAATCGTCTAGCCACTACACCGCATCGCCTCGCTGTGCGTTTCAAGTTGTAAAATGTCTTTATTTTTTGCTTAATGCTGTAGTGATTTTTTTTTTTTTTTTGTCTTACTTGTCTACTTTCGTAAAATCCCACCCAGGAAAGAACATCACAGCTATAGACATTGCCAGCGACATCTCCCATCTTGCCAAACAGGTATGTCGATATATGTTTGTGACATCTTACATAAGAGTGTGATGATATATTTATGTAACCTGTTACATAACAGTAAGATGTGAATATTTGTGTCACCTATTACATAAGATTATGATATGATGTTATCTCTTACATAAGAGTGATGCTAAATTTTTGTTACACCTTACATAAAGATTAGTTGCGTATCCTTTACAGGACGTTGCAGAACCAACCCCAGCAGCCCCTGGCTGTTGTGTGGTATTTCTAGGCAAATTTACGTCCAGTAGTTTGCCATTTCTTTCTGGACGGTCAGCTTTCTTGATACCACTGTCGAAACCAACGAAAGGCGTATGTCCCGCAGCTGGGATCTAACCCGGCATCCCAGCATTACGAAGCGTTCGCATCGACTTAGCCACATAGCCGATACATCTTACATAAGAGTGATGATATAATTTTGTTACCTCTTACATAAGGATAAGATCACTCCTAAAGTAGTCCATGGCATTTCGTATCTGTGTATACGCTGTTCAATGTGTTCTTTTTACACAGAAACAGCTAATTGCATCTTCTTTATTATTCCTTATAGCCCATACCCCGCGGTGCTGGTAGTCATGTCTATCCACAACCTTCTGTCTCGCGTACTTTCAGTCAGCTCTGACACCGATGACCTTCTATGCCATGATGTCAGACTATCCATCATCTTGTATCTCTGACTCCTTCTCCTCCCCCCCCCCTTAACTTTCTCGCCATCACTATGTTCTCCAGTTTTCTGCTTCTCAGGATATGGTCAAATAACGTAGATTCTCTCCTTCTGGTGTGGACAGTCAGTTCTCTTCGCTCACACAGGAAATTGAAGATGCTTTCCAGAAAAAATACAAACTGCTGGCTACTTTCTTCAACATGAACAAAGCCTTCGATAAGGTCTGGAAGAAAGGACTCTTGCTAAAACTAGCACACTGTGGGATAAAAAGGGCATATGTTTGCCTGGATTAGAGACTTCCTTTACAGACGCCGTGCGAGAGTCAGACTGGAAGATCACAAGAGTAAGTTGGTCAGGTTTCAACAGTTCACAACTCACATTCACATGCAGATGACCTGGCCATATGGACCCAAGCTGAACATATAGGAACAACTAAAACAAGACTGCTGGAAGCTATAAATACAGTTAAGAAATAGACAGAGTCTTGGGGAGTCACAATAAACCAGACCAAAACCGTCTCGACTTTTCTCAAGCTTCACAGTAGGTAAGTTGATCTGAAGCTAGAAGGTCACATTCTTCCAAAAGAGGAAAACCCCCAGAAGTTTAGGAGTACAATTCAACAAAGACTAACCAGGGGCTCCCACATTGAAGACACACAAAGGAAAGCTACCCTGCGGCTAAGACTTCTGAATAAACTCACTGGAACAAACTGGGGCGTGGGCGACAACATTGCACCAAAGTCTACACGGGATACCCAGAATCAGAACTGGAGAATGGCATTGGAGCATACTCCACTGCAGTCAAATCAAACCTATACAAACTGGATAAAATGCCACACCACAGCACTCCGTCCCCATCTTTAGCAGCAAGTGTCTGTCTGTCTGTCTATACGTATGTACGTCTGTCTGTCTGCCTGTCTGTCTACACGTATGTACGTCTGTCTGTCTGTCTGTCTGTCTGTCTGTCTGTCTGTCTGTCTGTCTGTCTGTCTGTCTGTCTGTCTGTCTGTCTGTCTGTCTGTCTGTCTGTCTGTCTGTCTGTCTGTCCGTCCGTCCGTCCGTCCGTCCGTCCGTCCGTCCGTCCGTCCGTCCGTCCGTCCGTCTGTCTGTCTGTCTGTCTGTCTGTCTGTCTGTCTGTCTGTCTGTCTGTCTGTCTGTCTGTCTGTCTGTCTGTCTGTCTGTCTGTCTGTCACTGTATATTTAAACGTGTACTTGTATGCAGGTATACATTGCTATGGCTGGTGGTACATGGATCATACCCAAGTGTCACGGTCAGGTACCAACTATAGACATGCTGTTCACTCGGGCTTTAATGCACTCGGAGGACTATATTGTCAAGCTCAACGACCTGCTCATCAAGGTAGCCAACGGCAGACTGGATCATGAAAGTGCTGGGATCAGACCCTCTGACCCGCCGTTGTTCTCGGGGATTGCTGCCTGTGATGACATTCAGGTATGGGGATTTTGTTGATGCCTTCTAACTATTACAAAATGCAACTGCGTGTATCAGTTCGTGTGATAACACCCGTCCATGCCATGACAAAAGATTGTCAACAATCTTCTCATGCTGTCTTCCTCTAACTCGCTTTCCACAGATCTTTTCAGTGGTCACAACTTGTTCTAGTTTGCCTCTTCTCATAATATCAAACACCCACACACCCACTCACCCACGCACGCACGCACGCATACACACACCACACACACACGACACACACAAGACGCACACCACACACACCACACACACACCACACGCACACCACACACACACATGGTGACTGACTCTTTCTGATGTTAGTGAGCCCTTGCCTCTATCAAAACATTTGGGTTGCCCTTGTTTACCTGTAGTTTTCTAAGGATTCTTCTGTAAAACCACATCTCCGAGACTTCAAGAAATGTTTCGGGCTTGTTTATTTACTTAATTGTCCAGGATTCACAGCCGTATATTAAAACTGGCTCCATATAGCACGCGAAAATTCATACAATGTAAGATGCAGTTTTGGCCTATCCTAGTCTGTTCGTTATCTCTGTGATGCATGCTTTCATTAACAACAACAAACTCAACAATAGTTGCAGCAGTGTCAGACATCTTCTAATAGATATTGCAGAAGCACAGTTATTTTCTTACTTGTACACTGTTGCGGACATGCTAGCGTTGAACATATAAAAAAATCTCAGTCACCTGATTTCAGGATTTATCATAGATTCTAAAGTTAGGCAAATACTGCAAGTTTGGGAATACTATGTATCCACTCATCTATTCTCATAGCTCACAAAAACAGGAATACAGTGTAGTCATTGGTTACATGGAAGACGCTGTGGTGTAGCGGCTAAACGCTCGACTGCGGGTCTGAGGGTCGTGGGTTCGGGTCTTGAAGGAGCCGGACTTCTTTAAAAAATGACGTTGGCTCCCAGATCGACCCAGCCTTGAGTGAGTACCAGATACATTCCTGGGAAACAAAGGTGGCCGGTGTGATGCTGACCACAACACCCATCAAGTAGCGTTTGGTCTATAAAATACAGGTCTAGCCCTTTATGCGCATGGGGGCGTGTAGAAGGGTCCTTTACTTTTCATTATTCACTTACACTGGCTACAAGTATCAAACGTACTAGATATAGTAGATGACAATAGCAGTAACAACAAATAAAGCAATGGAAAATGTGGCATTAGAATCTGATATAATAGTTCACGGTAACAGTCGCCGGCTCAATGTAGCAAACGCGTCTTTTATGACAGATCAAACATTGCAGCAACTACATTAGTTAGTTAGTTAGTTGGTTAGTTGGTTAGTTAGTTAGTTAGTTAGTTAGTTAGTTAGTTAGTTAGTTAGTTAGTTAGTTAGTTAGTTAGTTAGTTAGTTAGTTAGTTAGTTAGTTAGTTAGTTAGTTAGTTAGTTAGTTAGTTAGTTAGTTAGTTAGTTAGTTAGTTAGTTATGACAACAGAAGAGTCAGTCATCGGTCATTATAATAAACTCACCTGTTATGACAGTTCAGACGTCACACTAACAGTCGAGGTTTCAACTTCAATGCAATCAGGCCACCCCAAACTTGTTCTGTTCCCGTGCCAGTCAGACCAAATGAAATATCTCTCAATGTCCCATTTTAACAACTGATCAATAAACAGTTAGTCTCGGTGGAAGTAGTCAGTCACGAACAATTGACTAAACACACACAAAATGTATACATAAGGTTTTTCGTCAGCGAGCATGTAAACCGGCCACCGGCCATATTGAATACCACTACTCAGCCGCTGCACAAAGGAAAGGCACTCTACATGAAAATCACAGTTCACATTGCAGTATCAAGCACTAAATTCATTAGCTCAGACAGTGAAACCGTAGACTCCCGTCCATTTATGGAAACAACATCAGCAAAACGCTGTCAGAAGCAAAAAGTAACTTCTAAGCTAAATTTTCTGCCATTCCAAGTCCTCTACAAAGGACCGGAATTCTCATCTGTTATAACAGTCAAAACACACCGCTCCTATAATATCGGCTAAACGAAGAGACACGTCATCAAAAATTAACTACTACACTCCTGCGGCCCGGCTCTCTAGCGTAGTTGGCTAAACCGGATTGCGCGGAGACCGGATGACGAACTCCTTGTGGTCCTTGTTCAATCCCGGGGGTAGGCAGGAAAGCCACATTTTCTCCCAGATTTACGGTATCAAGGCCGAAAGGTTGCGATATCCATAATACCGAGCCTAAGGGTTAACAACTCATGGCTTCTGGATACTAAAACAAACAAACTACACTCCTGCCTACGGTTTTAGACTGGGTGTCGTGCTAAACGATGTCAGTTCTTTACACAAGCGACGGTAACCAGACAGTCATATCCGTCCTTAGGCTTCTGAACTTTCATCACTTCTAACACTATTTAGCCTTGTACCTCCTGTCCATCTTGTCGACACACAACTCACCTGACAAGTTCGTATCCCGTCTTGTCGACACAAAACTCATCTGACAAGTTCGTATCCCGTCTTGTCGACACACAACTCACCTGACAAGTTCGTATCCCGTCTTGTCGACACACAACTCACCTGACAAGTTCGTATCCCGTCTGGTGTTACGAATCCAAGTCCGCTCGATGTTTGCCTTCTCTTACAGTGTGTCGTTAACTGGCTTATAACTAGTACCAGCAGCAGCAGTAGCAGCAGCAGGGGCAGTTGTAGTGGTGGTGGTGGTTCTTGTAGCAGCAATAACATTAGTTTATATGTTTACAATTTTGGAGGTCTAGGCGGTGTGGGGTTGTGGCTGGGAGGGATGGGGGGTCTGGGGTCTTTGAGCTCAAGGGTTTAGGACTGCATGTCCAGTGCAGTAGCCACGGACTGTGCAGGTTTGGATTTTTGTTTGGTCCCCGACATAATTCCTTTTCCCTTACCGATGGTTCATGTTATGTTAGCAGAGTCGACGCCACTGTTCATTGGGCACTCCCATACGTAGCCAATCCTACGATGCAGCAGCGACACCAAGGTACCTCTACTGACTGTTTCGCTTGAGAGGCTGGTTATCGTGTCTTCTGTCTTGGCTTCAAAGACGCCGTAGATGTGCTTCACCAAGCCTTACTCTGAGGTCACGCAATCGTGTTAGCTTTTGAAATTTAACATTATTCACCAGCTTAGTCCGTACAGTCTTGATATCAGCTGTGTCCAGGCTACCGGGGATTTAAACCTGCAACTCCCACGTAGCAGCACATCGTTCCAGCCCATTATTAATATTACAACTGATAATGATAACGTTGACAGCTGGTCTAAGACGTAAGCTCTCACAGAGGGACAGACAGGGCACTGCGCTTTTGATCCGCTATTTTCTGAAATATGTGGTGCTCCAAAGATATTTCTGTTCCCCCTTATGTGGAGTTGGCGCTGTTTTCAGAGACAGTGATCACGCTGTATGGGCAACATGGTCTCACCAGAACCGCCCAGGCTTTGTGCTAGGGAAAAGAGGAACTTTATCCGTGGCCTTAATTTGTATCACCATAGTCTAGGATTCCGGTGCCCAATGTTGCATTTTCGCCAGGAAGGAAGGAAATGTGCCAGCAGTGATAATATTGTGATGATGATGATAATGACGACGATGAGGATGCTGATGATGATAATCATAATGGTCAACTTTGGATTTCTAACGACCCGATTTTTAACGACCCGATGTCTAACGATACGTTGCTGAGATCTTTTATATAAAATCTATAGCTTCTATTTTGTCCCAACAAACATACAGGGACAGATCATGTCTGGCAGGGTAAAGGCATACGAAGGACTCGCTCGGATGGAGCAGGACACTGCCCATTTCACTGATGGACAAACCGTTTCTGGCATTGACGCCATTGTGTTTTGTACCGGATATTCTCCGGATTTGTCGTTTCTGGACGTTAACATCATTCAAGGTGAGCAGTCAGTCTCTCTCCATTTCTCTCTCTCTCTCTTTCTCACTGACTCCCTCATTCTCTCTCTGGATCGCTCTCCGTCGCTCGCTCGCTCTCTCTCTCTCTATATCGCTTGTTCTCTTTCTGTCGCTTGCTCTCCCCCTATCGCATGATCTCTTTCTTGTTCTCAGTATCTCTCTCTCGCCCTCTCTCTCGCTCCCTTTCTTGCTCTCTCTCTCTCTCTCTGGTTTTCTTTCTCTCTCTGTTCCTAGGTTAATAAATACTTTTGAAGATAATTTATATATAGGTTAATATGGTTTGATTTTGGTGTGGGGGGGAGGGGGTTGGGATTGGGGGGGGGGGGTGTTGTTAGAGCCAAAAAAGTTATGTAGGGGTTCACAAAACCGGAGCCGCCGGCTGCCACCGCTTCTGAAACCACTATCTTATGTGATTAACTGTATGCATAAATCGTCAATCAGTTGATTTATTAAAACAGATTCGTACTGAAAGTTAGGTTAAAATAGTATTTTATGTCGTTATATAACAGTCGTTTTGTGTGTGTTTATGCTGATGAATTCTTTCTAAACACAACACTTATCTTGTCATTTGTATTTGTGGTTTAATTGAGAGCTAACTAGACCTCGATCAATTAACCAATCAATCCGTCAATCAGTCAATCAATACGCCGATAAACCATTCATATACTGTCTCCGCATTGAAGGTTGGCCACAATGGATCTTCAATACACTGTATCTCTTGTTCTGTTAGTACACTCTCTCAGACTGCTGTTAGACCACCTATTGACGTTGTCCTCCCTCTTGTATTGTTGTCTACCTCTTGCTCTATTGCCTTTGACTTTTCCGCCCAGGATGATATTTAAAAGAGTGTTATGTATATTAATGCTGAAATATTTCAATTGTCTGTGTAATATTTCCTTTAGCTCTCTCACTTCATTCTGACCCTAGTCCAACTTCCCATCTTGGTTCGTTTGTGTCCATGCTATATACAAATATAGACTACATGTTTGTTGACCAGACGATGGCAAGATGGAGCTCTACAAAATGATCTTTCCCCTGCACGAGAAGCACCACACTCTGGCACTGATCGGCCAACATGGCGCGGATGGCCCCCTGGCCGTCTGCTTCGAAACTGAAGCCAGACTAGCGACTCTGGTAATGGCTGGAAAACACAAGTTGCCTTCACTGAAACAGATGAAGAAGGAAGTCGATTACTGGAAACTTCACACATTCTACCGCAGAGGCAACTATAAATCCTACTTCGTAAGTAGTTGTTGTATTTGCTACGACGGTAAGTTAGTTAGTTAGCTAGTTAGTTAGCTAGCTAGCTAGCTAGCTAGTTAGTTAGTTAGTTAGTTAGTTAGTTAGTTAGTTAGTTAGTTAGTTAGTTAGTTAGTTAGTTAGTTAGTTAGTCGACAGATTATCTTCACTCTACATCGGACAAGTCCGTAAGTGCTCGGATCCCATCTTTTGTATATTACCCAGCGTGTGGCGACTGATAACACCAGTTCTGTGTTGGTTTACTATTCTTCTTTGACTACCTGTATAGTGTTAATGTTTGCTATACGTTTTTTGACCTGAAGTTCTTGTAGTCATTTGCGTGTTGCTACGACATTTGTTGGAAACTAATTGTATATCCTTTGCATGAAAAGACATAAAACCAAACGAAAATTAGACCAGCGAGCTTCACGGCGTAACGAAAGACATCGGAAAATGGAAAATTGTGGCTAAGAGCCTTTATCAGCATATTATATAATTATTATTATATAATGAAAGATTTGTGTTGCCACTAGCAATAAATAGCATGAGAGGGCTAAGGGCCGTGACTCGAGGATATTATGTGAAACCGTGTTGACAGTTAAGTCCCCTAGACGTATTTGTACCAATGGTTAAAAACCTTTGCTCGTTCGTGGGCACCGTTCTGCACGTCCAAAAGATGTCTGAACCCGTCCACCAGTGTTTGACCCGTTTCACGCTTATATTTTAATATACCACATCATTTGCAGATGATGGGGTAAATGACATTGCGTCTTGTGCAGTAGATTGCTTCTCGTATGTGGAAGGTGGCATCAGGGAATTCTATACTTCTTGTCTGGACCACATATGGACAGGTCTTGCATACAGGTCTATGGCAAGAGACCGTGCCAATGTGGGTCTCAGGTTGTTTAAAGCAATCTCAGCATATGCTAGCTGTGTGCACTGTTATTATTTTACCTTCAGTAGTTGGCTACAAACAAATTCTAAGAATACCATGGGCCAGGAAGAACAAACAAATTCTAAGAATACCATGGGCCAGGAAGAACAAACAAATTCTAAGAATACCATGGGCCAGGAAGAACAAACAAATTCTAAGAATACCATGGGCCAGGAAGAACAAACAAATTCTAAGAATACCATGGGCCAGGAAGAACAAACAAATTCTAAGAATACCATGGGCCAGGAAAAACAAACAAATTCTAAGAAAACCATGGGCCAGGAAGAAGAAGAAGAACACTGACATCCGGTATAATCTGAGTACTCAGGAGAACTGGCCCATAAACAGCATTCTGTCTTGAAAGCTAAACTATTGTGGCCATATCAATCTAGTCTAGAAACAACGGATATGGAGAGTATAGTTTCCGGAAAAATAAGGCAGAAGCAGTCTACGTTAAAGGGGGATGCAAGACATTGAAGACGTATTAACGACGAAAGCATATAGGGCTGGAGAATTGGCTAGAGAACTACAAAGAGCAGGAGGAAAGAAGTGTGTGTGTGTGTGTGTGTGTGTGTGTATATGTGTATATGTGTATGTGCATTAAACATCTCACATCTATTCTATTTCCAGCTAAGTGCGCTCCTCCTCACAGACTCGGTGGCATACGAGCTGGGATGTTACCCGTCGTTCTGGAAGATCTTCATCAGGGATCCAGTCCTGGCGTTCAGGACCCGCTACGGACCCACATATGCAGTCCACTACCGCCTTCTGGGACCCGGCAGCCAATGGGAGAAAGCAGCACGATTGTCTCACAGCCTCTATGAAGAGGGGACAAGTTCAGTCCGACACAGACAAGTCAGAAAGTTCCAGCGTCCTGATGTTTACATGTACAACAAGCTGAGAACAATCAGATTACTGATCGTCTCCGCGGCCATCACTGTTGTTGGTTGTTTTGCCTACAGAATTATGGGAACACCTGATTCACGTCTGCTGGCATTGTTTCATTAAATGCATCCTAGGTTTGGAACTTACTTGCAGTTATTAGCCGTCCTAGTGTGTACAGTTCTACGTGAGTACTTTCACCCTTTTCTGTCGAAATCTCAGTAACATACAGTGGAACTTCAGTATTAGATATTAATCCGTTTCTGAAGAGAGAACGAATATTGAAAAGGGCGAATATGAAACGAATGTTTTTCTCCATAGAAATTAACTAGAGATGCTCAAACTGTTCCCAGCCCCGGAATATCGGCTATCTATTCTGTAACAGAGATCCAAACCAGCTGCTGGTTGCGTGGATTTTTATCATAGTATGGGGCGTCGAAGGTCGACCCAGCCTAAAATGGATACCAGGATGTATGTTCTGGGAAAGTAAAGACGGCCGGCGTAATGCTGACCACATTACCCACCCAGTGTCGATTGGTCTGTAAAAATATGGGTGCTTTTCCCATATGCCCGTTGCGACTAAAGGCGTGAAAAGGTCTGATTGACTGACCTTCTACCCACCAGGACATCATACAAGCGATAAACACCCGATGACACGAAGTGCCACCATGTGGATGAGGATCACCGTGGAGAGGTCCCAGAAACCGCGTTCAGCCATTAGGCCATATTTATGGCCAGGCTATATTGCGGTCCCTGGAATAAGCATAGCGAAAAATTTCATCTTGAAAAGGACGGGAAGTAGATGATAGGCGTTAAAAGGATGGGAAGTAGATGATAGGCGTGAAAAGGACGGGAAGTAGATGATAGGCGTGAAAAGGACGGGAAGTAGATGATAGGCGTGAAAAGGACGGGAAGTAAATGATAGGCGTGAAAAGGACGGGAAGCAGATGATAGGCGTGAAAAGGACGGGAAGTAGATGATAGGCGCGAAAAGGACGGGAAGTAGATGATAGGCGTGAAAAGGACGGGAAGTAGATGATAGGCGTGAAAAGGACGGGAAGTAGATGATAGGCGTGAAAAGGACGGGAAGTAGATGATAGGCGTGAAACGGTAGCTGTACTTACCTTTTTACGATTCTTTAACAGACACAAAAAATGTCACTCGAAAATCTTAGAAATCATGGTAAACATATTTTAATTACATATAATCCACTGTACTAATTATTATGACAATTATTATTTATCATTATGACAAAGATTTACTCGTCCCGATGACTCAAATATGCTGTAGGCTTATACACATACGTCAATAAACGTTTTTAAAAAGAAATTCACTTTTGGGATTTAAAAATAAAATGGCTATTGTTTGGAAGTGGAGCCAACCCTGGTTCAGACGTAAGGTAAGGTTACTTCCAATGATTCATTCGCATTTCCAGTTGATTCACCAACACTTTTTTAAAGAAGATTTCCGGTTTTGTTACTTTCTTTTTGCTTTCTAAAATTTTCCGAAAGTGTCCGAAATAATCGCCATCAAATGTTTTGATAAACTGATTGACAATAGCGATGCTTGCGAGACATTTTAGAAAATCTTTGTCTAAATTTAAAAGAAAATCAAAAACACCCAAAAATAGAATTCTCTTGTAAGACTGTGATACATTTCACATTATTAAAAATAATAGAGCTTTTAGCACTCCAGAAAAGTTGTAAAGGGGCTTTGTTCTCCCGTTGACGGCGCCCTCGAAATAAAAAAAAAAAAAAAAAAAAAAAAAAAAAAACCTAAATTGTCCCATTGTATAAAATCTATGAAAAAGTTTGAGAATAGAACATATATTTAAATTTATATCTGTAGACTTTTTTTTTTTTTTTTTTTGATATTTATAATGCCTTAAATATGTTAATGATTAATGGAGAAAATATACAGATTTATAAACTACACTATTGGAATCAATGAAAACAAGGAATGCAATCTAAGTAGAGGAAATAAAAATATCAAACTGGACAATATACACAAACTGAAAAGGAATATAAAGAGATTTATATACTACATTAGTGGAGTCAATAAAAAAAATAAAAAAGGCATGCAATGTTAAAGGGAAGAAAATATTGTAATAATAATGATACAATTTAGAGGCTTAAGTGTTCTCCCGGTCTTAAAATATGGGTGGGGGGGGGGGGATGAAATGTGATTAACTTGCTTAGGATGTCCCGTTTTCAGCTCAAAATATTTGTGGCATGTCCCGTTTTCAGCTCAAAATATTTGTGGTATGTCCCGTTTTCTGCCCAGCATAAAATGTGTCTAATAAAGAAACAGCGAATAAAATGCTGGGGTTGGTTCTGCAACGTCCTGTAAACGATACGCCACTAACTTTTGTCCCGTTTTCAGCTCAAGATATTATGGCCACCCTTACTCGGAAAGGTCTGTTTTATACATCTAAGGGTAAATCTTCTCTTGATATCTGCACCAAAGAAAACCTAACAGTGCAACAAACACGGAGACAACTGACCACATCGCACACCTACTCCTGTAACCTTCACGAATGTCCGGCCGGTCAACCTCCTTGATGGCCCTCTGTCGGACAGACGCACAGCCTTCCTGGTACTGAGAACAACAAGCAACAGACGCCTGCTCCCATTGGTTGTCTGGTCCCACAAGGTTGAGCTGGACCGCCATGATTGGCCCGTACCAGTTCCGGAATGCAAGGGCTGGGTTTTTGAAGAAGACTTTCCAAAATGAAGGATAGATTCCTATTTCTTCGGCTATTGAGTCTGTTAATATTGCCGTAGCTATCTGAAAACAAATTGCAATCATAATTACCATTACTACTATCATCATCATTTCTATCAATTACACCGTATTGCGTTGTCTCTAAATAATGACTCGTACAATAAAAATAAATCAATGAATAATCCAATCAATCAGTTAATTAATAGATAAACCAGTCAATCAACCAATGACCTAAAAAATAAACATACAAAGACACAAATAATACATTGCGTCTAATAAATAAACAAATAAATGACAGCAACAAAACAAATTGTCGATCTGTTGTTTTCTTCGTTTTACGGTACATTAAACTATATTGTTGTTTTAGACACACAGACAATCATATGTTCGCGGTTTTCTGCACTGTGCTAAATTACTCCACGACGTATACAAGAAGGCTGGGGCATACTGGGAAGAATTCGTGTACCGTGAGAGTGATCACTTACAAAAAAAGCATAACATATGAGAAAAGATGATGACATCAGTCACACATGGATCCATTGAGAGAACCCACGACCCACATATGGGGTTATGGGACCTTGGCTAAAGCAGCAGATAATGAATGAGCTCTCTCCGTGTGGGTTCTAGTGCTCCGTTTTAGAGAACACAGAATAAACTCACTGCCCTCTAACAAGCATGTCGCAGGGGGCAACTGATTAGGGGCGTTTCTTTAAAAATCAGAATGCACCTGCCTGTGAGGAAAGGAAACCAATAGCAGACTATGAGATAAGCCAGATCTGTAATAGGAATATGCACGCAACACTAGTTCTGGATGATGACCAAAGTGCAGGAGTGGACGAACAGCCAGAACCGTCCACTTGAGTTTACAGACGTAAACAAGAAGAAGATGATGACAAAGTATAACTTACAAAATATGGACAGTATTTTCCTGTCCGAGCAAAAGTGTGGGCATTCCAGAAATCCATGTCTGCCTTCATCTTGTCCAGCGGAGGTAGCAGATGTTTTCCCGCCATGACTCGGGTTGCCAGTTTGGCCTGGACATCAAACAGAGGAAACAGTGGGAAATCCCCAGAGACCTGCCCAATGAAAGCAATTGTCCTATGCTTCTCCTTCAGCGGAAACATCATTCTGTACATCTCCATCTTGCCATTCTCTTGAATTTACATGTGTAAAAGAAATAAAAATATAGATATTTCATTAACAATATTTTTTTTAAACTCAAACTTCATACACGAGTAAGTCGCGTACCCTTTACAACAGGCACGTCAAAGAGAGGCTATCCGTAGGGGCATGTGGGTCACGTTGTGTTGTCATGAGGACCACAAATGACAGCTAATTGAGGTTATTTACTGGAGAAAAAAAAAAAACTATCGCATATTTTATTATTACGTGCCGCAGGTGTGCTTGCAAAGGACCGCAAGCTGCCCGCAGGCCGCATGTTTGATAAGCCTGCTTTACAGGACGTTGCAGATCCGGAAGTCGACTAACTATCGGTGTTTCTTTCAAAGTAGGAATACATCTGAACACGAGGCGAGAAACCCACAGTCTGCTAATGGAAACCCACAGTCTGCTAATGGAAACCAACAGTCTGCTAATGGAAACCAACAGTCTGCTAATGGAAACCAACAGTCTGCTAATGGAAACCAACAGTCTGCTAATGGAAACCAACAGTCTGCTAATGGAAACCAACAGTCTGCTAATGGAAACCAACAGTCTGCTAATGGAAACCAACAGTCTGCTAATGGAAACCAACAGTCTGCTAATGGAAACCAACAGTCTGCTAATGGAAACCAACAGTCTGCTAATGGAAACCAACAGTCTGCTAATGGAAACCAACAGTCTGCTAATGAAGAAGCCAGACCTGTGAAAGATGAACTCAAGTTCTGGAACAAGACCAAAATCCAAAAGTGGACAAACAACCAGACATTTCTTATAGAGTTTAAATACGGTAAAAGCGAAGAAGAATATGAAGAGGACAGAAATAAAGAAGAAGAAAAGGCTAATAATAATAATAATAATAATAATAATAATAATAATAATAATCATCGCATCCCGGATGGCAAACGAATATAACAAATCCCAGATTCTCCTTCAACTCTCTAACAAGTTATAATCACTGAACACGTGACGGTCACATGAACTGCGTTACATTGCAGTACTGAGAGGGTAAAGTTCCCGTTACTTTCACGCGTGACCCTGCAGTACTGAGAGGGTAAAGTTCCCGTTACTTTCACGCGTGACACTGCAGTACTGAGAGGGTAAAGTTCCCGTTACTTTCACGCGTGACCCTGCAGTACTGAGAGGGTAAAGTTCCCGTTACTTTCACGCGTGACCCTGCAGTACTGAGAGAGTAAATTTCCCGTTACTTTCACATGCATAACTACCTGGAATAAATGTACATAATTTTCAAAATGTTCAGAATTCAGACATCTGCTTTTCTAAATAAAATTTCACGGGGTCCGCATTAGCGCAGTCGATAGGAGACTCTCTTTCAAATCCAGCTGCGACTCGCTGCAGCACACGGCCGGTGTTCGAAACCAGGCGGTTCTAAGGGTTCACCCAGCCGCTAGGTAATGGGTGCCTGAGTTAACACTCTGGGGTAATTGGAGGAACGTCGCTGTAGCCACGGAGTTGTGTGCGGACGGCGACACAGGCGGACAGTTTCTTATCAGCTGTACGTACTGGTGGCAGAGCACTCATGGTTTATAACCGCGTGCAATGACGCTGGTTCACATCTCCCGACTTTACCTTGACCTATATCAAAAACTTTCCTATTGGTAAAATAACATACTAGCAACGAGGAGATGTCCGGCGAAACCTGGAAATTTCGTAATGCTTTTTACACGTTATCACAGAAATCAAACTTGCAGATGCCCCTGTGTGGGTTTATGGGGCACTATTGCAGGGAAAACAATAATAGATCCTCCGCCTTCCCGAAAGCATGTCGTAATAGTTGACCTATTGGAGGCATCTCTTCGGAGTGAATCTGCTTGAGAGGCAAGGAAACACCAGTCTTCGCACAAGAAAAGTTCGATCTGTCAAACGGATGTGCACGCAACATTCAGGTTCTGGAAGAGGGCTAGAGTCCAGAAGTGGACAAACAACCAGAACTTTCAGCCGGAGTTTACAGCCAGTGAGAGAGAAGAAGTCACAAACAGTAAAGAGACACTGACCTGCCAAAACATCCAAATCCACAAAAGAAACATCTGGGTAGTAGCCGGTACAAAAGATGATGGCGTCGACGTCGGAAATGACCCTTCCGTCACGCATGTGGGCTTGGTTGTGGTCAAGTCTGGTCAAATGTCCATACGTCCTCACTTTCCCTGACATCAGTTTCAGCTGTTGTGTTGGTGGTGGCATGAGAGTGATGAAAATTTTAAAATTAACTGAAGAAAATGTGTGTGTACTAACGACAAGTCTCAACAGCACAACTGGTGTTCCCATGTTGACCCGACCAATGAGAGGGCTTGAAATGAAATCACAGTAACTATACCAGTGATCCCCAAACTGTGCGCCGCGGCGTCCCGGAAAGCCGCGAAATATTGTAAAAACTTCATAATTAATTTAATAAAAACATGAATAGTAATACTTTTACTTAGGTAAGGGCGCCGTGTAAAAATTGTAATTGAAAAAAGGCGTCGCGACCAAGATACGTTTGAAAAACGCAGAACTATACCATTGTTTTGTAACCTGTCAATATGGTTGTTAAGGATGTCAAGAGTGGTTAAGCAGGTGACAGCGCGGCGGACAAATATAGTGACGTCATAATGGCAGTATAGAGATGGCCGCCCCGCTTTCAACATGCCAAAGAGGAGGAGCATTCTGTTATCCGATTGTTAATCAGTGAAAGACAAACAGGCAGGCAGACAGGCAGGACAGACATGCAGACAGTCAGACAGGACAGACAGGACAGACAGACAGACAGACAGACAGACAGACAGACAGACAGACAGACAGACAGACAGACAGACAGACAGACAGACAGACAGACAGACAGACAGACAGACAGACAGACAGACAGACAGACAGACAGACAGACAGACAGACAGACATATATCAAGAGTTTTTAGTTGATTGGAAAGAAGAAGATGACCGTTGAGGATAAGGAGAAGGTGGAGGTACATGATGAACAGAAGGAGGAGGAAGATGAAATAGCAAGAAATTAGATAACAATGAATTCATGTCGGCAAAATGATGGAACTTACCGGAATATCATCGTTCAATGAAATGGGGGCAAACAAGGGAGGCAAGTTGGGTCTAACCCCAGATGTTTCATGATCAAAGTTATCTTCCGCTGCCGCTATGAACTTGTTGTTGAGTTGGACAAACGCGTTTCTGTGGTAGAGCACCGAGCGAGTCACAAAGAAGTCGTATGGAAGAGAATTTCCGAAACATCGTGGCAGGATCCATGTCCCGACACCCAGGGCTAGGTGGACCTGAGCAAACAGAAATAATGGAAAGATTGAGTGCCAAATTGGTATGTCTACAGATGAGATTGTACAGTCACAGAATATTTTTGCTTGTTTACAATTCTTTAGGTTTCTGTCACGACACTGCGCCTTAGAAAAAAGACAGAATTAAAAAAAAAAAAAAATGTGAATACAAGAAACATATTGCACTATTTATTGCCAAGGCATATTTCGCTGCAGCTTTTCAAGTGCATCACTAAAGAGTTAAATCAACACACGAAGACGCCCACAAACACACATACGCAAACACACACAATAAAAACACTAATACAGAATTTACAAGAGGGTACTCTATATGAAGTCGGCTCTGTGGCTAAGTCGATGCGAACGCTTTGTAATGCCGGGGTGCCGGGCTCGATCCCAGCTGCGGGCCATGTGCCTTGCGTTGGTTTCAACAGTTGTATCAGGGAGCCGACCGTCCAGAGGAATGGCAAACTACTGGACGTAAATTTGCCTAGAGAAACCACACAACAGCCAGAGGCTGCTGCTGGGGTTGGTTCTGCAACGTCCTGTAAAGGATACGCAACTAACCTAGCTTTATATGAAAGGCTAAGATTTATGGTAACCTGGCCTGACGTCCTTGTAAGATATGTGCATGGGGAGGGGGGTTGGAAGGGTGTGGGGTAGAAGAGGAGGGGTCCGTTTCCTGCTACCTTACCCCGCCGCTGTCAGCGTTTATCTCACACCTACCTGACTGGCTCGATTCGCAACGTCAGCCGCGATGTCAATGGCCGAAAATTTGTTTCCTGATGGGGAAGAAACAGACATTCATTGATAGATCAGACAGACAATGTTAGCCAGTCACAGATACAGACATTCATGGATAGATCAGACAGACAATATTAGCCAGTTACAGATACAGACATTCATGGATAGATCAGACAGACAATATTAGCCAGTTTCAGATATCTGTGTTAATGAAATCATTGATAGATCAGACAGACAATGTTAGCCAGTTACAGATACAGACATTCATGGATAGATCAGACAGACAATGTTAGCCAGTTACAGATACAGACATTCATGGATAGATCAGACAGACAATGTAGGCCAGTTACAGATATCTGTGTTAATGAAATCATGGATAGATCAGACAGACAATGTTAGCCAGTTACAGATGTCTGTGTGAATGAAATCAATGATACAGTTTCACTTCTCACACACACACGCATGCGCACAAGCACACATAGAACACAAACACACACTCAAGAGTCAACAGAATAAATGGTTCGGACATAATCCATATATTTTCCGGATTGCGGGTTGGCTTTACGGATTGGCTTGCGGGTTGGCTTGAGGATCCGGATTGACTGTGATGTGGGAAATGTGAGCTGTGGATACGGATTGTACGGATCTGCGTTTTGGCTTTGCGGATTCGCTCGCGAGTTGAACGTGGGAAAAAAGTTATGGAAAATCAGGAGCGACATTAGATTGGTTTGATGGTTGGGGGAGCCTCTAGCTCCTGTGCCGATTTGTTGTTAATGATGTTTCCAGATGTTTCTCCAGACGGCGCCCGTGTTTTGACAGACATTTTTCCAGGTTTCGGCTATTTCAGAATACTGCTGTTGCGTGGGTGGTCCTCTCTTTCATTCTCAACCATCTTCTCTCTTGGATAACCATCTAGTGTATACCCTCTTAGTTCACCTTTTCTTGTCTGTTGGGATTTCCCTATTTTACCCCTCCCTGGTAACAGACAACATAGATTTAACAGCAAAGTGAAAGCTCACGACAAAATGACCACACAATCTATGGGATATCATAACTCTGTGTATCTACTCAGATGAGAATGAGAGGTACACCAAGCCACTCCTGGTGAACCAATCATGGACAAACAAAAGACTAGTTAGAAGATATGTCAGAACTGCAAAATATGGGGCACAAAATAATGACGAGAACGCCATTGATAGAAAACAAATTGTAATCAACTCACAAAGAGAATTTGTAATATTAGGAGAATGCCCAAGTCAGGATCCCATTGTAAAAGGGAGTGGGGGGGGGGGGGGATAGACCCACAGTCACAACATGCATGTCGTAAATGTCTTCTAGTTAAGGGTGTTTTCCTTCCAAGTTGGAGTACAGTCGTCTGAAGAAAGAAGCCAACAGTCTGTATATAAATAAATAAGATTTGTAAAATGGGTGTGCACGCAAAAGTCAAGTTCTGGTACAAGACTTGAGTCCAGAAGTGGACGAACAACCAGAACTTTCCACAATAGTTTACAGCAAGTGAACGCATATATATATATATATATATATATATATATATATATATATATATATATATATATATATATATATATATATAATATAATATATATATATATATATATATATATATATATATATATATATATAAGAGAGAGAGAGAGAGAGAGAGAGAGAGAGAGAGAGAGAGAGAGAGAGAGAGAGAGAGAGAGAGAGAGAGAGAGATAGAGAGAGAGGGAGAGAGAGAGAATGAAGAAATTAACTGAAGTCCACATTCTTTGGACACATCAAAGATCGGTAGAGCTAAAACACCTTGTGACAATGAGGGAAACAGGAGGGGAAGAGAGGCAGTGGCAGAACAAGAAACAGCAGGATCGATACACTGGCTTGAAGGCATTGAAGAACATCACATCTAGAAATGACTAGCTGTACATGAGACAGTAGGAGATGAACTGTAAGATGATTGTAATCACTGTTGAATAACAAAAGGTCGATCGGTCAGTTTGTCTCCTCCGAGCTGCTATCTAAATTTTGACCAAACCATCTCGAGATTTAAACAATCTTAGTCTGGACGTAAGACCAACAAGGCAGATCTCAGAAACCTGGTTCAACCTCTAAAAAAGGTAAAAAAAAGAGCACATGTAACGGTTACCCCAGCCAGGTGTAACCTACAGACTTTTATGGGTAATGGTGACCAGTAACTAGAAGGTAATTAGGTAAAGGCAATTGTATTTATAGGTTAGTTTCGTTTTTTTTTAAACAAAATATTTATGTGTTGTTCAATAATTCATTGCCAACCACCAACCAGAACATTTTCTGCTTCAGTAAGTCATTACCCACCATCAAATAGGACTTTATTTCCTTGAAAAATTCACTACCAACCAACAACTAGAACTTTATTTCCTTTAATAATTCACTACCAACCAACACCTATGACTTTATTTCATTCAATAATTCACTAGCAACCAACAGCTAGGACTTTATTTCCTTCAATAATTCACTACCAACCAACAACTAGGACTTTATTTCCTTCAATAATTCACTACTGTCACAACCCTATTAAGTACAGTCAGTGTACCAGTAAGGTGTGCGCCCAGGGTTGACACATGAGTTTAGTGCGAATGAATGCAGCGAGACAAAAGAGTGTTTGCCAAATGCATGTTTCGAAATGACAACTTGGCCTACTGATGAATCAATGTTGTCAGATGACGAGACAATATCACACGAAAGATTAATGGCAGCATACAACACTGAGACACACAGGGAAAGCAGTAAAGGTATCATAAACGGAAAACCAGGTTCAGTAATAAGAACATCTGACACATCTTTTTCACTTATTAGAAAGTCCGTATTGAAAGACACAGACTACACAGGGGAAACAATAAAATATAAAATGGGAGGCAAGAAATGTGAAATGAGAATAGCTATGGTAGATGTTGAATCTCCATTTCTTTGCAGCAGAATAGAAGTACTTGCATGCAGAAAACCCCCTGCAGATGTCATCATTGCAGGAAAAGAAAATCCAAAGGGCTGTACCATGAAAGAAATACAGGAGTGGGAAAAGATTAATTACGTGCCAGTAGTGCTAGCCCAGACCCAAGCAAAAGTAAAGAAGAAGTAAAGAACATATATGAGTGCATGGCATGTAACGGTGTGACAGCATAACTGCATTGTTGTAATTAGACAGCAGTCAGTGAGAGAGAGTGAGTGATGTGAATGAGTGTGTATGAAAAATATTTTAATATTTCTAAACCAACTGACAAATTGGTGCTTGAAGAGTTCCAGAATAGAACTGTCATTCCTGACTCTAATGTTGTTGATACGACAGATA